AGAGGGCAGAGCTGCTAACAAATACACACATAGGCTCACGACAGCATTGTGACATCATAATGTACCAGTTTACATCATAGCATACCTCTTAGCCAATAGCGATGGCAGATTTAAATTCAACTGCAGTGCAGAGTTTTTACCTGACAACGGCACAACACTGACAGTTTTAGGCAGAATATTTAAATTTTAACTAAGATGCACTGAAGTGCAAAACTATTGACGACACGTGTCTGCAGCACGATTAGACACTCGTTTATTTAGTTTACCAGCAAAAAAAAGTTTATTTGGGGGTGACTTGCTCTTTAAGGAAGCGTCATGAAAACACGGAACAGTTTGTTGGTTCATGTTGATGTGAAAAGTCAGCTAAAATCACACAGTCAGATGAAAATATAAATAATGCATGGATGGATGCAGAATTATTTTTATCTTTACCACCTGTAGCACCACTAAAATATTTCCAGTAATACGCAGCAACTATAATAAAATGTTTGTCATCCCTCTGACACGCTCCTTTCGTTGTTTACCTGCAGCATACAATTGAGCTTAATTGTGTTACCAGCATAAAACTTCCAGTGAAGCATCTCCTCTTAGACAGCAATAGAAAGCTTAATTATCAAGAAAAAAGCAACAACACATCATTGCATTTGTCTTCACTTCTAACTTGTTTTGGGGCACAGTAGAAAAATATTTCATGATAATCTCTGGCAGCAGTAAAATATGTGCAATAATGAAGGAGCTGGGTGACTCTGAGGTCCAGTAAAACATCACACATGCAGGGGAGGGAAGGTGTTAGGGGTTAAAGCCTGCTGCTTTCCTGCATAAATGTGAAAGCTGCACCTGCTTCCTGCAGGGAAACTCTGTCCTAATTTGTTTATGCTGCACCGCCGAGCTTTTCGCAATGTCACTAGCAATTTTTTCTTATTAGGAATTCTTCCAGCCGTCTGTTCAGGTAATTATATAAGAACAAACAAGCAAAACTGTGATTTAAAGACACACTGTGTCTGATTAAAATGTCCTAAAACAGAGCAGGGGTCACTTTGTTTTTATCTTGTTTCATCACATTAACTCATTCTCCTCTTATATGGTTTAATTCTGAAGTTATCAGTGTTCTGTATCCATTTGGCGCTGACTGAATACAGTTACATCTGATTTTTGAGGCTCGAACCATTACGTTTCAGGCTGCTTTTGAGGATTATTTGACTTTCATTTCAAAATGCAAACTGAGTATTTAACTAGAAACACCTGCGTGTCATTACATCAAGGATGAGGAATAAAATAGAACCTGCTAACATCTTTGTCAGCTAAAACAAAAACTGGTGAAATGAAATAAAACTGGGAATAATTCAGAGCAACACAACCAGTTTTTATTTTATTTTACGCGAGCTGTTAAGTAGTTCCTCCATAACAAGCTAGACCAGACAGTTTGAAGAGACCACAACAACTGGAGAGACTCATTCTCACTTTATGATGCATTTTACAACCATATGAGGACAAAGAGGCTTTTGTTTCTGCAGCCACACTGATGAAAATCACACAGCAGATACATCACCTTCAACACCAGCTCTAGTCCAAGGCCCTGCTCTGATGAGGACCTGGCACCACCTAGTGTCCATCTGAGCAAACCCATCCATCCATTTTCTGAATCCGCTTGTCCATGTAGGGTCGAGGGGGGGGGGGGGGGGGGTTTGGGGGGCTGGTGCCTATCTCCAGCGGTCAACGGGCAATCAGGCGGGGTACACCCTGGACAGAGAGCCAGTCCATCGCAGGGCAACACAGAGACACACAGGACAAACAATCATGCACACACACACACACCTAAGGACAATTTAGACAGACCAGTCAACCTAACAGTCATGTTTTTGGACTGTGGGAGGAAGCCGGAGTACCCGGAGAGAACCCATGCAAGCACAGGGAGAACATACAAACTCCATGCAGAAAGATCCCAGGCCGGGAAGCGAACCCAGGACCTTCTTGCTGCAAGGCAACAGGTCTAACTGAATGCACATTTAGTTTATTAAAAATCAGTTTTCAGCTGCAGAATTTTACTTTCTCTTTTGTGGATTTTAACCAGTTTGAAACATTTGAGATTCAATGGCCACAAACAAAAAGCATGCCTCCATTGTTGAGGCAGCCAACCAAAGCTGTGGCCACACGGTCACCTATGCTTGTTGTGGCAGCTACCCCTGAACCCGCTGAGGTCACTGAAAACTGAAAGCTCCTCAGAGAAGAGATCCGTCCAGAGTTTCTTAAGGCTCTGGATGTTTTAGGGCTGCGTTGGCTGACGTGGCTCTCCAATATCGCGTGGACGTTGGGGGCAGTTCCACTGGACTGGCAGACTGGAGTGGTGGTCCCCTTATTTAAAAAGGGAGATGGCAGAGTGTGTTCCAACTACAGGGAGATCACACTCCTGAGCCTCCCTGGTAAAGTCTATTCCGGGGTTCTGGAGAGGACGGTGTGTCGGATTGTTGAACCTCGGATTCAGGAGGAGCAATGTGGTTTTCATCCTGGCTGTGGAACACTGGACCAGCTCTATACCCTTAGGGGGATCCTGGAGGGTGCGTGGGAGTTTGCCAAACCAGTCTACTTGTGTTTTGTGGATTTGGAGAAGGCGTTCGACCGCGTCCCTCGGGGGGCCCTGTGGGGGGCACTCCGGGAGTATGATGTGTGACTCATTACCAGTTATAACAAAACATTACGACCAGCTCGGGTTAGAGATCAGTTCCTTTTTCCACAGGTTGGTTTGAAAAGCTTATTCACGGTAAAAAATGAAATCATCATCTGCAAACTGCATTTTATATTTACTTCATGTAAATTCCTGTCAGATTCCTTTTGTCCTGCCGGTTTGTAATCTGAATGTTGATGATTCTATAAATTACCAAGAAGAGGATTAATACATGTTTAAATGAAGATAAATGTTTGTGAATTCATTCATGTTTTCACAATTTAGCTGATAAACACATTCATAAACTCTAAACATAAAAAGGACATTATTAGATACAAAATGAGACAAAAGCATACAGATGAAGATAAAGGAGGGAGTGAAGATGAAGATCTAGTCAAGGAGCTTTAAATTTAGTGTAAATGAAACTTTCATGCATGTTAAAAAACCCATTAGCATTCCTGGTCATTGGAGCTTCATTTGCATTAATTACAGCATCAATCCTTCTGTGTCTCATTAAAATCTTCAACACAACCATGTGCAGTTTGTGTGAATGTGGATGAACCCTCTGAGTGTTATCTTATCTAATAATTCTGATATCATCAGAATTATTACAGATTGAAATGTTTATTTTTCCAACACCATCACGCTGTCCCATTGCTGGAGGCTGAGCAGTTGCAGCATCTCCATGGCGACTGATCCACACCAGCTCCAGGACAAGGAAGCTCCTCATGATTGTGCCATTGTGGAGTAATTGGAGTGTAATTGGTGTTTAATGGTCTGTTTGTTAATAACTCTGTGGAGATTCTCCAACAAACGCTCATCGTGGAAATCTATTGATTAAAAAAATTCTTTCCAATCACCATGTTCACATCGATTTTCCTCTCAAGTCTCTCAGGATGTGGTTTAATTGAATGTCACATGACTTTATGAAGCTGTCTCTCAGGCTGATACTGTAATTATGTCTCGAGGGCTCTGTCACGTGCAGATCCCAGAGCTTTTAACCCTTATCTTTACAACGATGACAGCTTTTCTCAACCCTACATGTAATATTCTGCTCCCTCATTTCAGATCATCTTCTCCCAGCTTCTCCCCGTCTTTTGGTTTATAGGCCAGCAGACACATGTGGAGGCTCCCCAAATGCGGAAGAGAATGGATGGATGGACAAACTAACTAAATCTGCTGGTGACTTCTGGTGTCTTTGTAAAACAAGTAATTTATACATGCAGCAAACCATTAAATTTAAAGGGACTATAAGGAAGTTTGACAGCCAAAACGTATAGAAATAATAAATTTCTTCTTCATACATTCTCCTGCAATGCCCTGGTCCTGTAGAATGAGCCCTGGCATTTTTACTGTGATTGCCTGTTTTTCTGTAAAATCACAGAAAAAAAGAGTTGCTCGGGTCGAGCAGGCTGCTTCATGTGCGTTCACGCTCAGGCATAGCATTTGCTATCCGTAGCTTTAGCAGCAGAGAGAGAGGCAGTGCCACTTTGTCGCTGTTCCTAACGCCTAGTGACAAAGCTAGCTACATTTCTGAGGACCCTTAGCTACTTTCTGTAGAACTTTCTTCTAGATATTTCCTGTAAATTAGCAACAAAATAGCCATTTTGGCTCTGAACCGTTCTTTGAACGTTGTTTCAGGTGTCATCAAGGATATAAATGTTACAGATACAAACAATGTCTCTGGCGCTGTAGCTCACCTAAGATGTCTGACTCCCATGTAGAAGACCCAGGTTCAATTCTGGATATGAACATAGTTTATTTAGAGTTTCTTTTTTTACATTAATGGTATTTTTTTTTACAGTAAGATGCCCAAATTTTTATTTGAGACTCGCCGAACGGTATTGAATTCACAGATAAAAAAGATGTGGGTTCAACTTTCATTTTGGAACAATTTTTCAAGCAAGGGAAGGGCATGATCCGAGCATGCAGGAGGACTGACCCATCATAAACCTTTGTCGGCTGTGCTGAAGAGAAAGGTACAGAACCAAATTATTTAATTAATTAGCTGCGTGTTCTCCTTTCCTCTGTCCTCCGGGCCACACACACACACACACACACACACACACACACACACACACACACACACACACACACACAAGGGACTGTCTCAGCTGTTATTTTCCTTAAGGAGTGTGCACGTACAGCATGCGCGCCTCGTGCACGAGCCTACTATTGAAGCTGTCGTTAAGCTTTTGGCCTGGGGGGGCAATCGCGAGCATAAAAATTCAAAACTCAGTAAAATCCCTTTAAAGACAATAGAATTTTTAACCAACAATTCTCTTTTAAAGATGTTATATTTGCATTTGATGACTGAACAAGTAAAAAGCAATCTAACCAGTTTTTCAGTGCTTTTTATTTTGTTCCATTTGGTTTTTATTTTTCAGAGTCCCAAATTTTCTGAACTGAAATAGTTTATTTTGTAAAAGAAAAACAGGAAAAATGTCTTTTGACAGAAAATCCAAATGAAATAAATGTAAATGGACTAAAATCGTCTAACATTTTATGTAACATTGCTGCATCACAACACCTTTATGGTTTATTCTTGATTGTTCTTCCGTAACAGATGTTCAGCCTGCAAAAACAAAACAAGACTTACACTTCTACCATTTTGCTGCCGATGGCGTGTGTGTGTGCGTGTGTGTGTGTAAATACCAGAAAGTCAACAGGGTCATCTGGTTTGATTTTCAGGCAGTCCGTCGTGACCTCGACCACCGAAGGCATCAAAAACTTCATCAGGTAGTTCCTCAGAGGATTAGCTTGAGCTTCCAGCAGCTCACACTCCTGCCGCGTCAACTTGAACAGATTCTCCTGCTGATAAACACAAACATATTCTTTTTAATTTACAGATGCTTAAATTATTTTCCATAATGTTCTTTATTCTCTCCTCTTACCCAATCCTTGTACTGAGCAGCCATCTCAGCCAGCAAGGCCTCCTTCCTCTGTTTCCTCTCAGTTGCCTCTGCCGCCTGCTTCTGCCTCCTCTCATCTTCTCTCCTCCGGTTCTCCTCCTCCTGCTCCACTGGACTCAGGCCATAGTTTTTGGGAGCCCCAACGATCTCAGTGATCTTTCTCATAACACCTGTGTACTCTAAATCATCTGTGCTGACCTCTGGAGAAGAACAAGACTCCCTTATCATGATGAACAAAAGCATTCGTAATGTAAATCAGCTCCATGAATATATTTCTACTTCATCTTGGAATAAGGATCTTTGTTTTCACGTTTCTTTTTGTATTCCTTCAAAATGACTCGTTGAGGACTCATTTTCTCCTGATTTAAATAAAAGAGACAGAGTTTTGCAGGCATTACCTATGTGCTCTAGGTGAATCTTGCGATGATCAAAAAAGTCCTGCAGTGTTTCCTCGGCTTTACTGAGTTCTCTGTATCTCACCAGACGAGACTCAAACTCATCCCAGTTGTAGCGCCTTTCCCCCCGTCTGATCTCTGGAAGTCCTTCCACTCGCCTTTTCAGGAAATCATCGGATGCATCAAGGACGAAGACGTACTCTGGAATCCACACGGTAAACAGAAGCGTTTAAACATGCAGGTGAAGTGTTTAATACCTGTGCACATTTTAACTTTGGTCATTTGTTCATGTCTGATGTCCAACCTGGAGTAGTGAGCTTGTTGTACGAAGAGAATTCAAAGGTCAAACCTGAATCCTCTCTCTCTGGTTCCTCGTCTGCACAAAATAAACGCCCCCGCGCATCACAAAGCAAGGACTTTACAATAAATCGACGACTTTACAGTTAGCTTAAACTTACCAGAGAAAATCATCTTTGCCTGCTCATAAGTCTCGAGCAATCCATCAAGGACGAATCCATGGTTTCTGCATGGTTTGGAGTTGAGTTTTTCTTTCAGAATGACAGAAATCTGGTGTTCAGTCAGCTGGCCTTAGGAGATACAGAGTTAAACAAAGCACACACACAGGATTTATCATCAAACATTTCCAAGTGCTAGTCTTCTACCTTCATATTCAGAATATGTCATCAGGATTTCCCTGGAAAAACCTAAGTCAATTTCCGTCTAATACACAAATATTCTTCACCATCAGCTGTTTAGTTCAACTCTTTTTTTAGCCAACCTTGGATCTCTTCTAAGTCTTTGTCTTTTGCAGCCGCTGCTTCCTCATAACCCCCAGAGTCAGAGCCAGCTCCACTCATGTCTCTCTGCCACAAAAAGAAAGAAAAATGCTGGAAGTTTTCCACAAGACAGCATGAGAATCTGAAACATCTGCCTCCACCAACCGTTTTCTCTTGGATGACCTCTTTAACGCTGATGTGGTGTATTTTGTACTTCTTGCAGAGTTTTGCAGCGACAGTAGTTTTACCCACAGCAGCAGGTCCAAGCAGGCAGATTTTAACTGGCTAAAGAACAAAACAGAATAAAGGAAAGCGTAAAACAAGCGGAATCTGCAGATATAAAACCAGGAAAATTAAACGTGGAAATGTTGATGTGTTTTTCATGTTTAAACCTGTTTAACACTCACAAGAAGTTGTCTGGTGTCTTTGTACTCCTGTATAATGTCCTCTATGTTGTCAACCATCCCAGTTTTACACCTCCAGTTCAGATCCAAAATGTCATTCATCACTGAAGTCTGCAAGCGGAGGTCGATACTTAGCTGATCCACTTCCTCTGGCTGAAATTAGACACCAAAGGTTTTACGTACAAATGTTGCATCTGTAACACTGAGACTTGGCTTCATTACACACAAACAAACGTAAATAGCAGCTGATTCCATCTAAAGTAATCAAGGCATGTGTATTTTAAAATTTGGTTCAAACCCTTTACCGTAAAACCCCCCTTTCTGATGGCATCCTCCAGGGTCGACGTGTGAAGATCTCCTGGTCCCAGAACATCACTAATGGCCTATAAGGTCAAAGGTAACAAAGGGTTCTCACAGTTTTAAATAATGTCGTCCTTTCAGGTCATAGTATAAAGGTGTGGAACACTCATGCAATCAATATATTTGCAATGGTCTCTAGTAGGGATGGGGGACACCGGTGCAGCATTTCCAGGAACTAGAAGTGAGCCACATCACAGCTGAGCTTCAGACGGCAGGAGTCTTATCCTGATATTCGGACGTCTTGCCCCGGATTGGATAACAGCAACACGACTCTGCCACTGACTTGCAACATTAATGTTTTTCCTCCACAAATAATGCAAGTTTAAAGGAGTTCTGCTGTGTGGTGGAGTTGCTAATGCTAATGGTTAGCTTCTACTAGCCGAGATGTTCTCTGCTGTTTCCTGGACGCTAAACCAACAACAGCCTTCCCCGTCGTGAGTCAAGATGGGTGAGTATCTTTAATGACAGTGTGATGTAGATCTGTCAGGCTTTTCTAATCCTAGAGTTTCACCGTCTGTTTTCTATCAGAAGCTAGTGCAGGAGGTAGGTGTAGGAGACTATTTTCATGTTCAGCCTGCATGAAAAACTCAGAGATTATAATCAGAAATAAGATTTTAAAAATGGTTTTTCAGTGTTCCACACCTTTAAATCACAGAAACGTATTCAGTTCCTTAATTATTTGTGAACATTACCTTTATAATCTCCTCTAAAGTGCTCTTGGAATCGTCAACAGCACAAATGAACGTCGGCCCTCGTCTCAGCTCGATAATTTTTTGAATTACTCTACAAAAATAAATAAATGCAGTGAGTTCAGACCGGATGTGATTATTTCCAAATAAATAAATGCACTATAGTTAATTAAACTCACTGTCCAAGATCATAAACGTGAATCATGGGGATGTAATTTGTGCCGGCTCCAAAAACGGGAACCTGTGGGACCTGCATCAACCAGGAAATCTAAAAAAAACAGAATAAATGCCAATAGAGGTGAGCAGAACAGATGGAGATATGGTGATAAAAATCTACTTTTGTATTAGTATATGAATTATGACCTTAAAAAAGTAGTGAAATAAATTTTCTCCCATTCCATACTGAAGTCCAGCAGCTATAATGCAACCTCTGAGTTTGGTCTTTCCCTGAAAAAATGGAGAAATCACAAGAACATGGCAGCATTTTCAGCTATATGTGTTGATTTATTCATCACAGTGTCAAAAACACCAACCTTGTTTGTCAAGGTGAGCACAAGCTTTTCCAGTTTCTTGTGGTTTCCGAACTTCGGATGAGGCTCTCTTTGCGTGAACTCTTGCTCAGATATAACATCTTCTGGCTCCTCATCCTTCAAGAAAAAAAAAGGCATGTTGGGTTTTCATAAAAATATTTATGGCTTCAGAATTTCTTCTTTTCTAACATTTTTTTAAGCTTTACCGGTTTGTTTAATTTTGTTATGGCCCGTGGCACCACCGAGGAGACCAAGATGAAGATTTTTCGGGAGTTGAACTTCCTCCTTTCATCATGAAGGGCTACAGCAAAAATGGAGAAAATGAGAAGGTATTCTGCATGTTCACTAACTGACTTCAGTCTTCTTTTTTCATAAGTGACATATTTGATGGTTTTACCTTTAAGTGCCCATGCCGCCTCATCAGCCAATTGTTGGGTTAAACCTTCTGAGATGTTATACACCACCACATCACATTCCAGCAGACACCTAAAAAGCTCATCTCTGGTTGGGGACTAACAGAAGAATGACAATAGCCTCTTTTATAAGACAGACCATTGCGTCATTACAGAGTGATAAATCCAAATTTGTGGGTCTCGTAAATGCGGCAAGAAGCAAAGGGGAAAGGTGATAAAACTCAATTCTGATGCGCTTAGCCATGAAGTAACATTGCCGCATGAGCCCCTCGCCTCTGACGGCTAAACACGTGTCAGCCCCGCTAATCCCTTTGGAGCGACTGTGGGAGGCCCCCCCGCAAAAGAGTGGCCGCGTTAGTGACGTATACTGGGTGCCGAGTGCCGGCCGGAAGGGATATAAACACAGATACACATGGCTTCTCACTAGTATCTTTAAACCAACTACAACATGGCAAACTGGATGGACGCGGAGACCATGGAGCTTTTGGCCGTGCGAGCGGACGAACAGATTAGTCGCCTTTTTACGGGCAAGGTGAAAGACAACCAGCTGTTCGACAGAGTGGTGAAAACACTGGCTGAGCGGGGCGTCAAGTGGCACAAAAAGCAGGTCACATCAAAGCTAAATGTCCTGAAAAAGAAATTTCATCAGTCTGACGCTGAATGCGAAACCCTGTACGTCACATGCGGGCGGGGGGGGGGGGGGGGGGGGGCTGCCCGGCGACCTCCTTTTATCCCGTCTTGGTTTGAGAGGTGCCTGATGGCAGTTTATTCTAGCTTCAGCTTTGCTACTATAAATGCCAAAATCCTCCACAACGAACCACGGCAAATCCCATTTTGCAAACGCTATGGTCCTGTAAAAACAGCTCCAGAGACAAATATTAGCATTGCATCTTTTCCATTTAATAAGGTTCTACTTTACCAGGATCTATCTGCGTAAACAGCCTGTGTTGTTCTACCATTTTTCAACTTCAGTCGAGGTTCTCACAAAATTACTCTGAGGGGCACATGTGGCCCATGGGCCACATTCTCCACACCCCTACTCTAATCCTGTTTTTAGCGTTTTATGTGGATTATTTGATGATAATGAAGATTCAGAAAAAAAAGTTGTGATAAATTGTTTTTCGGTGTATTTTGACTTTGGGTATCCTCCCTGAGACGCTTCTGCCAGAACCAGAAACCCGTGATGCCAAATGAAACAAGATAGTGCTAAACACCAGTCGCCATTTTGTAGGTCCAAACATCTTTTGTTGTCAGGACTTCAACTGGTGGTTTTCTTTTTTGGACTCTTGATAGTTTGTACTAAAGTTGAAGTGGTAGCAGACAGCTGTTTCTCCTTCTCAGATATTACTGAGCGGAGAACCTCTCTCACCAGTGGTGTTCTGTTCATGAATATGTGAGTGTGTAATGAGTGCGGTGGTTCGGTTAGACGGACAACCTGATGGTCCAATGGCTGGTTTTGGTCCAAAACGTGTTTTTGGTGGTGGTTCACAATGTATTCATAGCTATACTATGTTAAAACGTTAACTCATTTACTGCCAGTGACGACAAAACTCATCATTAGTCGCCATTTGCATTTTTTTTACTATGTGAGCGTCGGAACGAGCCCCCGCACCTGTCGTGACTCACGAGCCGAGGTGAGTGCTCTTCCTCAATAAACCATCTTTGAGGTTCTTTTCCACAGGTGAAGAGCGGAGTGGACTCCAGCTGAGCTGGATTCGCAATCAGAGGCTCTGGTATAAAGGGAGGATGGAGACACCACTCGATGCCGGATGATTGCTACAGTTTTGGTTAGCCCCTGCCACTCGTATTCGCCTGTTTGCTCGCTTGTGTATTCGTGATTGGATTATTTGGATCTCTGACCTTGGATTGTTTTTGGATTATGACTTTGGACTCGTCTCTGAACCCCTGTCTGCTTTGCCTTGTTTAGGAACCACTACCACATCCATTACCTTCACCGCTAGAACCCCGGATCTCCAGGACTTCATCCCATCCTCCTCCACGGCTCCTGCCCTTCCCCTCTCCGCTTTCTCACCCACCTCACTCAAGTGGATCCCGGTCCTTACTCACCTTGGCTCGCCACCTTCCCCGCTGTTTACGGAACTTAAACTCTGGACTAACGCCTTGTGGCACCCTACTCACTGGACTTACTAGTGCATCCTTTGTTCCCGTTTTCATAATAAAAGACTTTATTTTTACTTACTCCGAGTTGTTGTGTTGATTCTGCATGTCTTGGGTTAGACGCCTCCCACAAGTCATGACAGCACCGTGAGAACAAACATCCCAGCTCTAAAGCCGATCTTCATCCGCATACGTCACACGTCACGTGATCAGGAAGCAGAAAATCCGTGTGTTAGGAGATCGTTTTGGGCCGCTGCTGTAAAAAAAAGTGAGGCGCGAACCGGAAAAGCTTCTGCCGATCACAATTCAACAACGGATTATGAAAGAACGGATAACACTTGAAATGCGCAGATTCTTCCTGATGTAAGAAGTGAGTTTACTCTTTGTTTTGTTAGTTTTGGCATCAACATCATCCTAGCGCGCAACGTTCTGTGACTCTTGAAAAATGGTGAAGACGCTGAAAAACGCTGGCAGTAGAGGGCTTTTCTGATCAGGAAATGGCTGGCAGTGAATGAGTTAAAAGCAATGAAAAACTGTTTTAAGCTGATTTGTGTTCCAAATTTACCATTGTAGCTTTAAAAGATAAAATCAAATAAAGACCCACATTTTTTCCTAAGTATTTATCTGGTTCCATAGTAAGTAGCTGTTAACCTGTGAAAGCTCATCTCTGTTTCTCCAAACTTAGGTCGTTCATAGAGCTGAATGACAGGCTGATTGTTCTAATTTTACATCAAGGGTTTAAAGGTTGACTTACATTGTACTGCTCGTGAAGAAAGAGGATGTTTTCATCTTTGGAGGAAACTGTTCCCACGACCTGAAAAACGGGTCTGTGTCGAGGGGAGAAGAACGTGTCCTTCGCTGCTTCATCCTCAGACGCAACTTCAGCTTCACACGCTGACAAAAACTTTTCAACAAATTCAGAGAAGTTACTGCTAAATGTTTAAGAGAACAACAGTAAATACGTCACTTTTACCCTTTTATTACCTCGGCGATGCGCTTCGAAGAGTACCTGTCAACGTCGTTCACAAAAACTCGTTTTACCGTTTTTTCCATTTGTTGCTCATTTGAAGTTCGCCTGCGTTATGTTGTGTAATCAAAACGACTAAACGTGCGAGTAAAATGTTTATTTTATAACTTTTATTGCGATAAAACCGATAAAACCCAAAACAACAGCTTCCTACCTTCCTACTCGTCCGTACCGTTGCTATGCACTCAGTAATGGTTGCTAACGTTCAGCCAATCAAATTCGTTACCGCAAACACCACCATGGCGTTACGTTAGATCGTAAGTTTACGTAAAAAATATTAGGAATAAACTCACGATTTCAACTTTTCAGTAAGTTTTATAAGCATAACAAGTAATATTAAGATAACAAAATTGAACTTAGACAAAAATCTACTGTTTTATTTTAAATGCTTTGTCAACTTTAAAGATTAATATGTGGCAACAAAATAAAAACATTATTGATAATATAAAAAATGCATTAATTTGGACGCCTTTCCCCATACTAAATAATAATAAGTTTAAGATTTGATGTATTTGTTTTAGCATGTGTCATATTTATTTATTTGTTTTGTGTAAACAGATTTTTATTAAATTTGGTTTAAAAAAAGAGAAGTCCAGAAAGTCTCTGTTATTTGGATTATTTATCAGTCTGTTGATTGACTATAGAATATTTAAGGTCTTTGCTATTTTAGGAAAAAGCCAATGTGTCCGTTTTAACTAATGCAAAATAATTTTAACTAACTTGCAACAACAGGATAAAATTAAGGAGTTGCACAATTGTTTTCACATCTTGAGCATATCAGCAAATGCTTCTCTTGCGACATAATGCAAAGCGAACAAAAATAACATTTATTAAAATGAGTGGCAGAATATATATTTACAGCACTGTCAAATCAAGCTTTCCCGTTTTCATAAAGAATAAATGGCAAAATGTAAAGTTTGAGTACTTGTTTTGTTTTTTATTGGATTTTTATTATTTGACAAGCAGGTTCAAACAAGTTGTACTTAAAAATTTATTGAACACAATATTATTTTTTAATATTAAAGCCAGTTAAAACCATGCAACCTAATTGTCAGTGAAGGAGAGTAAACATTCATTTATTTTATGATGAATTTGTGGATGAATTAATGCATTTATCTGCCTCTCTGTCTTTGGAAGGCAGTGGTGGTTGTGCAGCTCCTCCTGCTCACAGCTGGATTCTCACCTTGTCAAAAATGTAGATGACATACTTGTAGATGATGAGAACATTTCCAATCATGGGCAGGTTGTTCTAGTTTCTTGATACAATCCTATCTGTATTCAGCATTACCAAATTGTATTGTTATTTCTGAGTCTAAGGAAGCAACCACAGTGATGGAGGACCTAAACTATAAAGTGTTTTTGTCGTTAGTGTTTCTGGAACTGACCTCTTCTGATAAGTAATATGTTATTTATCTCCTGCAGATTATTTAGCACCAATTCTGCAGGAAAAGTCAGTTTTACATCCTCCAGTTCACACTGTGCAACAAACCACTGTTGCCTCCTTATTTGCACAAACCAGACACACCTATGGTCCTGCATGTAGAGCCACTCACGGTTGCAGGACAATGGAGCGCTGACATGGAAACTTTCAATGCACCTCCTATATTTATAGAGCTGACTTTATCTGTGACACGGCTGCGTGATAGCGTCTGCTCTCTACAGATTGAGGCTCTCACCACATTTAAAGGACAGTGATAAAGATGGAGGAATGGCCTGTTTGGTTTGTTTTTGCAATTCTGTGGATTTTACGTTCTTCTTGTGTGTTCCAGTTAAAGCTATAACATCTAAACCATCCAGGTACATGAGTGAAACTTGAGGGTAATATTAACTGAATTAAGAACATCGGTGAAACAGTAAACTGACGCCCATCTGTGAAGCCAGTTGACACAAAGCAGTGGATTCTAACAGCTGCCTGACTGTGTGTGTGTGTGTGTGTGCGTGCGTGTGTGTGTGTGTGTGTGTGTGTGTGTGTGTGTGTGTGTGTGTGTGTGTGTGTGTGTGTGTGTGTGTGTGTAGGGGGGTGCAGAGGAGACAGCTGTCCAGACACAAGGGACTTCCTACACGACCTTATAAGGATGAATGGTCCTCAAAACCATAACCCGTTTAGAAGCAACAATCTGCTTCATCCCTCTGCCAAAAAGTGCTCCTTCGATTTGAACGGAGCTGTCGACAAAGCACAGCCAAAGACTGACCTGATGTCAGCCTTTTTCAATTTTGCTTCTTAGAATTGAACTCATAAGAATAAGAATACCTTAATTTGTCCCTCAATGAGGAAATTGCATTATTGCAACAGCTCAGGTAAGCAGGATAGCAGAAGCACTCAAGATATCACGCAAGAGTTTATAGCTATTGTAAATTAAGATAACAATTGCACATAATAATGAGAGTAGTAGTATTAATATTGCACATGTCTTGAAAGATGGTGATGTTTGTTATATGTTACAGATGTACGGGTTCCATTAGCAGTGGCTATGATAGAGTCTAGCAGCGCTGTGGTTTCACTCCTTCATTCTTTTATCTGTATTTTGCTGCTGACCAGGGTTGTTGGCCATCCTGGGGCAAAAGCCTCATCCACTATCTCTGATGCTGCTGCTGTAAAACTTTAAATATAGAAGCTTTGCTGTCACAGGGAGACTTTAGGTATGACCACATGTAATCTGTGTCTGGTATCCTACATCAGTGAGGATTTAGCCCTCCTGTTTTGCTATTCCGTCTTTAAAAAAGTATCTGGACCTATATTTCACTCTACAATGTATTCAAAATGGCATAAAAATGGGGTTTTAAAATCTGTGGACTGTACAAATATAACAAAAATGTTTTTTTTTAAGTTAACAGCCAAAAATTAAAGATGTTGTTTTTATGTAAAAGTCCATCTTTTTGAGATGCTGCAGCACATGACTTCAAATGGAATAGTTCTGGGTGCTAAGGGGGTAAGGGGGGTATTTGCATTCCTACTGCCCTAACTGTGACCTGATAGGGCTCCAGCATGGAGCAAGTGTGCAGGCAGTACAAGGTGACAAATAAGGATCCTGAGCTGTCCTCTTCCTACCTTCGGTGCGCGGCGACGTGCAGCCACTGGCACGGAACACAGTCCAATTCCCTAAAAGGAAGCGAAAGATCCAATGAGAGCAGAGAAGCGTCAGCCGTCATGCCACTCCATCGGCTGCTGGAGGTCTGGACCCCCACCCTCTCCAACACTGAATCTCAGCTGTCAGGCATGCCCCCCCCCAACACATACCTCACCATGAGCAAACTGCCTGCAGCAGGCTCCCCTTGGATGGCTCCTTAAGTGTATTACTCAAACAAAATCTCACATTACCACCACTGTCTGCAGACACCCCCAGTGTCCTGTTCAAGCTTAGTCATATTAACTCATCATAGGGGGCTGGTTTATGTGGTGGGGGTCTCTGCACGAATCTGAATGAATTAGTTTAAAAAAAAAAGTTTAAATCACTCTCACTTTCTTGGATTTAAATGTATATATTTTAATTAATTATAATATGTTGTCATTTATAGTCCATCTTCAATGAAATTCCCATTAACAGTTCATTTCTGCCTGTTGTTGTGAAATCCGTCTGGAGGCATCCCTGACAGGATCCACTTTACATTCTGCTGAGCAACACTTAATTTGGACTTGTGTGGAGACCTGAGCACGCCCACCAGCCCCCAGCCGCAGCACGCTGAAGCATATTTAAGGAGCTCATCACAGCCTTGCCACTTTGTCCCAGTGGAAACTCCAGTCTTGTGGCAACAGCTTGGTGAGTCTCTTTACTGCTGCGATTTGGCTTTTCGTTCATTAGAGCATTCAGGCCAGAGAGGATGAGAAGATGCTGCTGCAGAGGAGAATAGTAACAGCAACATGGATGTGGAGTGGGACTTGCATTATTCAGTTGTTTCTGCATCTTGATTTAGGGCATTTTAAAGATGATAATCCTGCAAGATGCAAAAAAAAGACTTTTTTATCTGAAAGGGGAAAAGTGTGAAATGAGCAGGCTGTAGGATGCAGGATGGATGCTATAACTACAGAAGCTTGTGAGGTTCAGTCAAGGCTGACTGAGCTTTGTTAAGTGAATCATTTTTAGTGGGTAAATAATCCATAATCCACGGTTTTTGGCTGAAAGAGATATGAAAATAGCATTTTTCTCATTTAATAGACAAATGAGCAAATTTTCAGTCATTCATGAGTTGTGTGGCTTAACCATGAACTCGCCTACTTATCCTAAATAAACATGAACTTGACCCTTGACCTTATTTCTTGTTTATTTAGGATTGATTCATTGATTTCTATCAGTGACAATAGATGGTTCTAGGCCTCGTGCGATCCAGAAATTGTTTAATTGGACATAGTTTTAGAAACAAACAGGATCCATTCTTCTGATGTTTGATTATCTGGTAATGTCAGACATCAGTCATTTATCCCAACCATCAGATGCCTTTTTCAGTGGGGGGGGGGGGGGGGGGGGGGGGGGGGGGGGGGGCTGTAAGAACAGCTGATGGTGGCATCTTCTGCAGCCTGGTGCCAGATATCCTGTAAAGGGCAGCACTTGGTCTGCATACACACAGGAGCTTATTATGTGGTGACAGCTGAGAGGAGACCCAGGCCTCCAGTGCCACTTGTCCAGAAAACACTCACTGCCTCAGCTGTTAACTGGCTCTGACGTAACAATAAGTTACTGAGGAGGTGGTGGGAGGACCAAGGGGGGCCTGAGGATTAAAATAGACCCATGAGTTTGTTCAACAGGATTGGGCCTCCTTCTATTTTTGATTTTCAGACAGCTGCTTGACTCAGAGGAGATTAGAGCACTCAGCTGTGTTTTCATAGTGAGCATAGTGCAAAATAGCTTCTCTGTGTTTGGTTTCATCTCAATTAATTGACGTGAACAAGAACGTTTTATGCAATGTTCGTATGAATAACGCATTTATTTTTCTCACAGATCCTCCATTTTTCTTCTCTCATATAGAAGGCCAGCTCAGAACCAATCAAACATGTGTGACGACGATGAGACCACCGCCTTGGTGTGCGACAACGGCTCTGGCCTGGTCAAGGCTGGGTTTGCTGGTGATGATGCTCCACGTGCCGTCTTCCCATCCATTGTTGGACGCCCTCGTCACCAGGTTTGACATCTGTGTAGGACTGATATCAACATGCTGCCATGTGTGCGTTGAAGCTGAGACTGGAACTGTTGTTTCTTCAGGGTGTGATGGTGGGTATGGGTCAAAAAGACAGCTATGTAGGAGACGAGGCCCAGAGTAAGAGGGGTATCCTGACTCTGAAGTACCCTATCGAGCACGGCATTATCACCAACTGGGATGACATGGAGAAGGTAAGAAATGAATCATGAATCACAAATATTGACTCATGAATGAATAATGATAGACAAAAGTTAATCTTCTTACTCGTGTCACAGATCTGGCACCACACCTTCTACAATGAACTCCGGGTGGCTCCAGAAGAACACCCCACCCTGCTGACCGAAGCCCCCCTCAATCCCAAAGCCAACAGAGAGAAGATGACCCAAATCATGTTTGAGACCTTCAACGTCCCTGCCATGTATGTGGCCATTCAGGCTGTGCTGTCCCTGTATGCATCAGGACGTACCACTGGTGAGTCAACACGCTGCATTATCACAGGATCAGTAAACTCAGCGTTTTCTATGTTGTCTAAGAGAGCGGTGTTTTATCTGGACAGGTATTGTGCTGGACTCTGGTGATGGTGTAACTCACAATGTGCCTATCTATGAGGGCTATGCCCTGCCCCACGCCATCATGCGTCTGGATCTGGCAGGTCGTGACCTGACTGACTACCTGATGAAGATCCTGACAGAGCGTGGCTACTCATTTGTCACCACAGGTAAATTTGGGCTTCAGCATTAGCTAATTGCCCTTGAGTTGATGTTTTGGTATTGGATCGGAACGCATTTCATCAAATCATAGGGATTTTTTGACTGAGTCGAGTTCTTTTTTGGTCCCTCCAGCTGAGCGTGAGATTGTGCGAGACATCAAGGAGAAACTATGCTACGTTGCTCTAGACTTTGAGAATGAGATGGCCACCGCTGCCTCCTCTTCCTCCCTGGAGAAGAGCTATGAGCTGCCCGACGGTCAAGTCATCACCATTGGAAACGAGCGTTTCCGGTGCCCAGAGACCCTGTTCCAGCCCTCCTTCATTGGTGAGCAATTACCAATCACAAAAAAAAGGAAAACATTGTATGAATTTATAGTTAAATTCAAAAGTCAATGCAATTTTAAAATTTTGATCTGAAAATTAAGAGAACAAAATTAATGTCAACCTACTTTCTCAGGTATGGAGTCTGCAGGCATCCATGAGACTGCCTACAACAGCATCATGAAGTGTGACATTGACATTCGTAAGGACTTGTATGCCAACAACGTGCTGTCCGGTGGTACCACCATGTACCCTGGTATTGCAGACCGTATGCAGAAGGAGATCACTGCCCTGGCCCCAAGCACCATGAAGATCAAGGTGTGCAGGACTTGTTAGAAGGAGAAACGTGCACGTTGGAAAATGCCTTCAACCAGATGTCTTACTCTTTTCCTCCTTTCCCTGCAGATCATTGCTCCTCCTGAGAGGAAATATTCTGTCTGGATCGGTGGCTCCATCCTGGCCTCTTTGTCCACCTTCCAGCAGATGTGGATCAGCAAGCAGGAGTACGATGAGGCTGGTCCCTCCATCGTTCACAGGAAGTGCTTCTAAGCCTCCAGTCGTTGCCAGAACTCCCACCAAACCAGCTTTCTTTCTTTCCATATTTTTGTTTCTACTGTGTCTTGTGATGTATATACATGTATTGTTGTAATAAAAAATAGTTTTTTTTAAAAGTAATTCTGAGCATTGGAGTTTTTCTCAAGATGCAAGTGGAGGCGGTGTGCTTAAGATAAATCCAGGCTTGTAGGGCTGGTATTTATTATGTATAAACATCCTAAAGGACTCAAACCCAACCTGCTAACAATCTCTTCAAACTTCTTCGGTCTGGCAAACGATGCAGGGCAATAAACATGTGCACCATCAGGCTGTTAAAACAGCTTTTAAGAATTTTGCTGCTAGGAGGTCACACTAACAGCGATTCTGCTGGATAATGGCGCACTACAGCACCTTTACATTTAGCTAAGTCATCGCGAAACATCAACATGTGACTGTTTACATTTATATTACCGTATGTTCACTTTATATCAGTTTGTAGTTTATACTTGTCTTTATACCATGTTTACATTATACTTTTACATCTTAAATTGGCCTGCGATGGACTAGCTCTCTGTCCAGGGTGTACCCCACCTGATTGCCCGTTGACCGCTGGAGATAGGCACCAGCCCCCCCGCAACCCTATGTGGACAAGTGGGTTCAGAAAAAGGATGGATGGATCTTAAACTGGCTGTGTGTGTGTGTGTGTGTGTGTGTGTGTGTGTGTGTGTGTGTGTGTGTGTGTGTGAGAGAGAGAGAGAGTCTATTTTAGCCTTGTTATTTTAATTTACTTATATTTTACTACCTCTTACGTGAGCAGTCTTTAGTGAGCGTGAAGTCCTTTCATTGTACAATGACAATAAAATGATCTTGAATCTTGATATATACACTCAACAAAAATATAAACGCAACACCTTTGTTTCTGCTCCGATTTTTCATGAGATGGACTTAAAGATCTAAAATTCATTCCAGATACACAATATTACCATTTCTCTCAAACATTATTCACAAATCAGTCTAAATGTGTGATATTGAGCACCTCTGCTTTGCTGAGATAATCCATCCCATCTCATAGGTGTGCCACATCAAGATGCTGATCTGACATCATGAGTAGTGCACAGGTGTACCTTATACTGCCCACAATAAAAGGCCACCCTGGAATGTGCAGTTTTTTTAGCTTTATTTGGGGTCTGGGGACTCAGAACCAGTCAGTATCTGGTGTGACCACCATTTACTTCATGCAGTGCAACACATCTTCTTCGCATAGAGTTTATCAGATTATCAGTTGTGGCCTGTGGTATGTTGGTCCACTCCTCTTCAATGGCTGTGTGAAGTTGTTGGATATTAGTGGGAACTGGTACACGCTGTCGTATATGCCAGTCAAGCACATCCCAAACATGCTCAACGGGTGACATGTCTGGTGAGTGTGCTGGCCATGCAAGAACTGGGACATTTTCCGCTTCCAAGAATTGTGTACAGATCCTTGCAACATGGGGCCGTGCATTATCTTGCTGAAACATGTGGTGATGTTCATGGATGTACGGCACAACAATGGGCCTCAGGATCTCACCACGGTATCTCTGTGCATTCAAAATGCAACCAATAAAATGCACCTGTGTTCTTCATCCATAACAGATGTCTGCCCATACCATAACCCCACCACCACCATGGGTCACTCTATCCACAACATTGCATGCTATTGGCCTTTCAAGATCATCCTTACTTTGGTTGAACTCTTACCTACATCATCGTCGCCAGTGTATGTTGCACTGGGGCTGTCAGTCAAATTTGACTGGAATATCTAAAGGCATCCCTCAAGATTCTTCCTTGGGACCTTCATTGTTTTCTATTTATGTTAATGATATGCCCCTGTGCTGCACAGACTGTAATATTCATCTTTATGCTGATGACACAGTTATTTATTGTAGTAAGCCAACTCTCACTGAGATACATTTTTCGCTACAAAAAGACTTTAATTCTATTCAGCAGTGGCTGTTGGCTAATAAACTTCTCCTTAATAAGTCAAAATCATATTCCTTATTGTTTCATAAGAAAGCCCTAGATATTGGTGAAAAAAACCTGAAGCTTTGTTTTCTCCACTCCTCTCCTCCGGAGACCACGGAGACTATAAAATATCTTGGTGTTTGGCTGGAACCTGACTTATCCTTTAAAACACATACAATCAACTACAAAAAAATTAAATTCTCGTCTTAAAATCCTCTATAAATCTGTTAATTGTTTTAACTTTCTGGTTAGGAAAATAATTGCCTCACAGCTGCTTCTGCCTATTCTGGACTATGCTGACATTATCTATCACAACACTTCATCCTCCTGCTTGCACTCTATTGATGTTGCTTATAATAGTCTCTGTCATTTTGTTCTTCATTGTCCATGGACATAAATGCATTTAGGACACATAGTAGTGTGATGTATCGACAGTTATCCTGGTTCGCACCTGCTGTCAGGAGACAGTTTCACTGGTTTCAGTTCATTTTAAAAACTTTTAACTTTAATTATCCGGATTATCTTAAATACGTTTAATTCCCTATAATTCACTTTACAGCCTGCGGCATAATAACCAGCTCTTTTTTGTTGTTCCTAGAGTGAAAAGAGAGGTAGGGAAACATGCTTTTGTTTTTAAGGCGCCATGTGATTGGAATAATCTTCCTTTATCTATTTGTTGTTTATCATCATTCACTACTTTTCAAAGGGCTCTGGTCGATCATCTTCAGGAATAATTGTCTATATGTTTCTAATTGTATTTGTTTAACTGGCTGTTGCTTTTGTTTTGTCCTTGTTAGTTGGAGTCCTGTAGTGTGGGGTGAAGTATTGTGAGCCTTTGAGGGTTTGTGTGTGTGGGTGTGTGTGTGTGTCTGTAAATGGTTGTTGTAATGTTTTGATTTTGATTTTTGCTCTGCTGTCTTGCTCTTAACTTTTGTTCTTCTTTTTGTTGTAAAGGAGGACCCACGCGAAAACAAGATGTTTCATCTCAAGTGGTTATTCCTCCATATAAAATTATGTTTAAATAAATAAATTAAATTAATAATTAAATCTGCCCTGAACAATGTAAACCGAGATTCATCCGTGAAGAGAACACAACGTGCCAGGCGCCATCGACTGTGAGCATCTGCCCACTCAAGTCTGTTACGGCGACGAGCTGGAGTCAGGTCAAGACCCCAATGAGGACGACGAGCATGCAGTTGAGCTTCCCCGAGACGGTTTCTGACAGTTTGTGCAGAAATTGTTTGGAAACCAATTGTTTCAGCAGCTGTCTGAGTGACTGGTCACAAGACGATTTTGGAGGTGAACCTGCTGGATGTGGAGGTCCTGGGCTGGTGTGGTTACACGTTGTCTGCGGTTGTGAGGCTGGTTGGATGTACTGCCATATTCTCTAAAACGCCTTTGGAGATGGCTTATGGTGGAGAAATGAACATTCAATGCACGAGCAACAGATCTGGTTGACATTTCTGCTGTCAGCATGCCAATTGCATGCTCCCTCAATGCTTGTGGCATCTGTGGCATTTTGCTGTGAGACAAAACTGCACATTCCAGGGTGGCCTTTTATTGTGGGCAGTACAAGGTACACCTGTGCACTACTCATGATGTCGGATCAGCATCTTGATGTGGCACACCTGTGAGGTGGGATGGATAATCTTAGCAAAGCAGAGGTGCTCAATATCACACATTTAGACTGATTTGTGAATAATGTTTGAGAGAAATGGTAATATTGTGTATCTGGAATGAATTTTAGATCTTTAAGTCCATCTCATGAAAAATCGGAGCAGAAACAAAGGTGTTGAGTTTATATTTTTGTTGAGTGTATATGATGGATGGACCCTCCTTTCCATCATCTGTAGGTCTCTGAATTGAAACCCAGGGCATGGTTCCCACCACCACCATCTTGGACGCGTCACATGTCTTATCACTCCTGAAAAATATAAGAATGACGCTACAGTCAGAGAGGGATTGTGAGGGTGTGGGCAGATGATTGACACCCATCAAAGTCTGAGCTGACATAGCCACAAGCTAACTGAGCTAACCTAAGCTAACCAAGTTTGGCTGGCACTTTTAGCACCTACTAGGCAGCAACGTGAGGCCAAGGTTAAGGTCTTCCCTGGAGCAAGCAGGGGGGCAAACCACTAGCTAGCGCGGATGGCTTATCTGCTACCTATCAATCAAATGGACATGTCCCTACTTAGTTATTCATGATTTCAAGTTTTAATTCCACCTAAACGGATGAGTTGCAAAAAATTCACCCCCCTCAGAGTTGTCATGATGGCATATTTGATTTTTTAAACCTAAAATGTTATTTTCAACCAGGCTGTAAAAATGTTTATGTCTGCTGTTAATTTGACATTTTTTAACATTGGAGTCAGTGGGAACTTGCTCCTCTCTGGAGCCATCCCCTAGTGGATGGGGGGGGGGGGGGGGGGGGCTGCATTTTGACAGGTGGAGTTTGCTCCTTGGTGCAAACATTATTAATGCATATTTATATTCTTTATTATAAATTAAAGCACTCATTGAACTTGTTTTGCTGAATAATTGGTCATTTTAATACAAAAATATCACAATGACTTTTATTGTTACTCAATTAAATCTTGTTACTGTTGTTCAAATATATGATAATCATCGCATATTTAATAATTTAAACACTTTCCCTCAAAGTTGTAGTTAAAACACAAATCAGTCTGAAATTTTAACTGACACTATGAAATGACTAAAACTCATTTCTACTATCTTGCTCGTGACAGTTGAATGCACCACTCTTCCTCAGCTGCTGTCACAGGTGACATTAATGGGCATAATGAGGCCCACTTCTATTGTTTACTCAGGCATTATGGTCACACATTGAAACAGACTTTTGTTATCTTCTGTATGTTGGTGAAATTATGAAGCTCACCAACAAAAATGTGATTCGGTTTCACCTCCAAGCTCTTTATGGGATATCTGTGAAGAATTTAGAGGAGAAAAAGGAGCGACAAGTCTTTAGTGGTGCAAAGATTTTTGGTGTCCCTCTGGAAAATTTGTCCAGATGTTACATTCCTGAATTAGGACTCGTGCCCTGGTAAGTGGAAATGGAAAGTTTGGAGAAGCTGATGTCAATTGAGAAAATGTCCAAATGAAACCAGAGCTTTTCAATTTTTTTCTGCAGCTTCTTAGTGGATGCCTGCTCGTTTCTGCTGGAGCGTGTTGGGACTGTCGGCCTGTTCAGGAAACCAGGTTCTCTTCATCGCATCAAGATCCTCAGAGTAACATTTTTTTTAAAATCATGACATTTTATCAGGAGCAACAGTGCCATCAAGTGGTTTGATAATAATCCATCAGTCCCAGTTATTTCCTTCTCAAAACTGCTGCTAACTGTTGTAAATCCTGCGTTTAAGCTGATTTTTGTCTGGTTTAGGCCAAACTGAACCGTGGAGAGGGCTGCCTGTCCACATCCTTCCCCTACGACATCGCCACCCTCGTCAAACAGTTTTGCAGGGAGCTTCCAGAGCCGCTGATCCCCTCTGAACTCCATGCAGCTCTGCTCAAAGCCCAAGAACTGTCCAACCAGCGGGACAGGACGTCAGCCTTCCAGCTACTGTCCTGTCTTCTTCCAGCAAGAAATTCCTCCTGTCTACAGTACCTATTCAACTTCCTATGCAAAGTTTCTAAGAGGTATGAAAAAGCACAAATCCTAGTAACCACTTGGCCTAAATTATATAAGTTTAGCATGGATATCAATGTTTTATTTTTCCTTTCCACGATTGCCCTTAAAGTGTTACAAATTTATTTGCTAGACCAAATAGTTCTGTTGTCTTCTGTATTGTCAGATGCACTGACAACCTGATGACCAGTTCCAATCTGGCTACAGTTTTTGCACCTTGTCTTTTACCCCCTCCAAACAAGGCAGAAATGTCTGAAGAAAGAATCGAACTCAGAGTTCTTGTGCTGCAGAATTTCATTGAGAACCCCCATTCATTTGGTAATGAGGCAAACCATCAACGCACTATTTTAAAGAATTGTCCTGGAGTGAGAATCCTGCTTCTGATCACCAGGTTTGATTTCCAAGGACGTAATGGACAGCATAGAATTTCTTATGAACTTTCCTTTTCCGAAAGACACAAAGAAGGCAAACCAAAAGAGACACAGCTTAAAAGGTAACCAACAGTTTTTCTGCACAGAAATGTAGGTGGGAATTCCACTGACACTATTGTTTCTCTCAGCGATTCGATTTGTGAAGACTGGGCCCTGGATTCATAAGCCGAAGGTCAAGCGTGGAGTTTCTGAGCCGAGCTTTGAGACCCCGCCTGGAGCTAGACAGAAGCTGAGGAGAAGCCTCGGCCTTGAGAGCTTCCCCAACATCCAGCTGTTCAGGACCTGCGTGTCTCATACAGGTAAAAATGGAGTGTGGAACGTAAATGTTCCTATTTCTGTAGACTGTGTAATGAAAACCATTTTCTGGCTCAAGGGATGGATTTCAAGTCTGCAGATGAGTTGTGCAAGAATCCTTCCCTTTCTGCCTTGGACAAAATGCAACCTGCAAACTGGAGAAGACGCTCTTCACCTTAACATGTTGTGCTGTTTTTTTTGTTTTGTTTTTTGCACTGTTCCTTATTCTCTGTATAATTTTAGAGTGTGACCTCTGATGGTTTACTGTACACCAGAGTGGAAAAAGCTGCATTTATTTTTAATAAATGATTTTTATGTAAAGAGTGTTGGTTTTCTGTTACTTCAGTCCAGGAGTGGATAGGGACAATAATTCAGGCCTGGAATCTGAAACCATCCAACTCCACCATCGGATTATCGCAAAACACTGAGTCAGGTTGGACGCCTACGGAAGTCAGAGTGCAAAACAATAAAAGAAGGCTTCGCCAAGTTCCTGTGTCTTCCCTCTACAATATAAATGATAAATGACCTGCACTTATAGGGAATCCCTAGTAAACGAAGAGTATTTGCACTAAGATGATGTCAAATAGAATGAAAGGTGCATAGGACATAGGTGCAACAAAGCACCCGTGATCCGTTAGTTGGTTCAGCAGACAGCGTTCCACTTTTGTAATGTTTGCCTGTGCTTTTATTTCCTTTATTTTGAAAACCGGAAACTCGGTCATTTTCCCGGCAGCTTGATGGTGGAGTAGCAGGTTCACCAGCTTGTTCAAGGTAATAAAAAAAAATGATTTCGGACTTTATGGATGTATTTTAACAACATAATTGTTGATGAAGGTAAAAGAAGTAAATAGAATTTACTGTAAAAATAATAATTTCATATATTTTGGGGGGTTGTATGAACCGTTTTAGTGCATCTCCGTTAATGGTTCTGTTTACATTGAATGGCGCATATTCAACGCTTTACTCCATTTTGGAGACAAAAGTCTGTTTTTACTGCGTTATTAACCATAAATGTTTACCTGTGTGAGGTGTTTGTGGTTTTTTATTCAATAATTAGCTAACGTAACGTGTGTAAATGACCAAAGCAGCTGTGTTTGTTTATAAAATGACACGCTTTGCTGACATCTGCAAGCTCAGTCAGTGTATTTAATCCCGCAGATGACAGAAATGGGATTCACGGTTCGATTGTCGTTGCTCGGCCTCCTGTGCCTGCAGCTCGGCAGAGCTCCAGCCCGCAGCCTCCGCACGGCGGACCAGGTGTCAGAAGCCGACATCCAGCGGCTGCTGCACGGCGTCATGGAGCAGCTGGGCATCGCTCGGCCTCGGGTGGAGTACCCCGCGCATCAGGCCACAAACATCATTGGGCCTCAGAGCATACAGGGTGAGTGAATACGATTCAAATATTCAGCATTTTTAGCGGATAAACGGAATATTTATGACTGCATCGCGTGTTTTCTCCACCAGGCGGTGCTCACGAAGGGCTGCAGCACCTCGGCCCTTACGGGAACATCCCCAACATTGTGGCTGAGCTGACAGGTGACAATGTTCCCAAAGACTTCAGCGACGATCACAGCTACCCAGACCCCCCAAACCCCTGTCCTCTTGGAAAGTCAGGTACAAAATCCCAGTCCAGATCCTGTTTTAATGTTGCTATTGCCAGGGTTCATGTGGGAAGAGCATCTATTCTGTTTTTCCTGGAGAAAATATTTTAAGCTGCATTATTAAATGTATCAATTTCTTAAAGCTGCTGGCCATTTTTAGGTTTCCTGCAGCATTTCTCAGTGACGCTTTAGGGTGACGGTCTGTTTTGCTGCTCTCACAGCAGCAGATGGATGCTTGGAAAATGTTCCTGACACGGCTGAATTCAGCAAAGAGTTTCAAAAGCACCAGCACCTGTTCGACCCCGAGCATGACTACCCGGCTCTGGCAAAGTGGGTGAGTATAGATTAGCCCTAACCCTAAATTTTACAGCAATCATAAAAATATAACACCTTTGTATTTTATTTGGAGACAAGAAGGTTCTAATAAAATGCAAGGTAATAATAATGTAAAGATAATAGTTTAATAATAGAAATGGGTTGAAATGTAAACTTCTTTCCAGCAAACATCCCCACGTTATTTAGAATTGTTTTAGACAAGGTTTGTGCCATGTTTCAGTGAGATTTAGGGACTCAAATTAGCTCTTTTGTGGTGTTTAAACTAGATGCTGCAACTTCAGTGTCATCAGGAAAAAAACAATCACTGTAAAGTGCCTTACTTCCTGTTTCTTAAAAATAAAAATGATCCAAATGAGTAAGATGAGTTCTTTTTATTTATTCATGTATTTTTTTTTTTGTTACATTGATGCATCTTTGTCCTTTTAGTTTGGCCAAAGTTAATTTTTGTCCTCAAAACAGAATTCCTGCAACTTGGGGGGTTTAGAAACAATAAAAGATGTAAAACTGAAGATTTGTTTAATTTTTTTCTTGTGTTTTCCCTCAGAACAAGGAGCTTTTGTACCAAAAACTGAAGGGAGGACCAAAAAGAAGAAAAAGGGTATGCGTTTTTATTATCGTTGTAACAGAACCACAAAACATCAGCAGCTCAGACGGTTTCCACTTTGGGAATGTTTCATTTTACATCTGTGTCCACAGAGCGTTAACCCTTATTTACTGGGTCAGAGGCTCGCCGACGTGGTCGCCAAGAAATCCGTTCCCCACTTCTCAGAGGAAGAGGACGTGCCGAGCAGCCCGTCTCCCAGCAAACAAACAACCTAAACCCATCCTAACTGGAACCCGGATGTGATAAAAGCTCTTTACACTAAGGGTTTACACCAATAGCTGAGAGGGACGGCATCTTTGTGTTGAATGTGGTCATTATTTATCAGAAGAAAAGCTCAGGTCCTGGTGTGTACATAGAGCACATTCTACTCTGTGTCGTTGTTTTTAGACATTTTTAACGACCCGAAACAGCTTTGTTAACTCGGTGGCTCTTTGATTTGATTTCCTGAACTTTTAAATGACTTGCTCTAATTAAAAATCCATATTGAACCCGTAATATTGAAAGGTGTGGTGTACACCACTTATTCGGCAGTGTAGGCTACTGTAAATCTAACGGTTTATTCTATAAATAAGTATTTAGAGGAATGTTTCATGGCTGCACAGACATCATTTCCTTCATACTCTAGTTTGTGAGCACTAATATGTCATGTCTCATGTTTGTGGAAACTAAGTCTAGCTTTATGACTGTGAGCTTATGTTGGGAGTCTGCAAGCTGCACCAGCTCATATCTGGCTTACATCTTATTTTTTCTGTTACTCCTTGAAGTCAAATAAAAGATTTATCTGCATTCACAAATTCTGCTCGAGTGTTTTTTTTCTTCCGAAGGTCAGGATTTGGGGGTGTGTTCTGCTGAAATTCAAAATCTCACTGAGACATTCATAAAGGAGCTGCAGAAGACACAAGACTTCCAGAAAGAGCACATCTTAAGGATCCAACTGGGTAAAGTCGCCTTAAAGGTAAATAAACGTAAAGTTTCACATTTTGTTTCCTGTTGCAGAATAAAAAAAAGCGCATTTAAGAGGGAGAACTCAATGTGCGCAGCTTCTTGGACGCGTAATCCATGCGTAAAAGTCGTGCGTAAAGGGCTCTCCATCCGCGCCTGACTCTTGTGGTTTTCCTTTCAGCTTTAATGATGCAGCCACATTCATTACGGATCTTTGCAGCAGTCTTCGCCATGTTTCACATCCCACCGAGCAGCGCGGACACCGGAGCAGTTCAAGGCGCGTTCCCTCATCCAAACAAGTACAACCCGAACGAATCAGAGGGCTGTCTCATGCCGCCCATCGGCGGACTCCTCTCCCGCGGGACGGCTTCTGCAACGTCATCAACTGACGAGGTTCTGGAATCCAGTCAGGAGGCTCTGCTCGTTACGGAGCGTCGGTACCTCCGGTTGGACTGGTGCAAAACGCAGCCGCTCAAGCAGACCATCCAAGAGGAGGGCTGCCTGAGCCGCACCATCATCAACCGGTTCTGCTACGGACAGTGCAACTCCTTCTACATCCCGCGGCACACGCACCAGGACGGGAGCGTCTTCCAGTCTTGCTCGGCTTGCAAGCCCAAAACATTCAGCACCGTCACCTACACCCTCTTTTGTCCGGGAAAGACGCCCAGTACGCGGAGGAAGCGCGTCCAACGCGTGAAGCAGTGTCGGTGCACAACCGTTAAGACGGAATAAACCCGGATGTGACTGATAGGAAACGTTAAGGACTGCAAATTTGGATGAATATGGAGAAACTTGACTGAACCTTGACTTTGAAATTGACTGTTTATAACATAAAGGCTGGTGGAGAGCACATCTGGACGTTTGAAGCAACGTAATTTAATTTTATAAACATTTCAACATCTGCAACTAATCCCTGCATCATTATATTGTTGCATCACCTGTAAAATAACAGCAAATAAGTCACATGTTTCTGATCCGATTAGATTTTATTTGGGGGGGGGGGGGGGGGGGGAATCTAAGCAAAATGTTTGTATCACAATTACAGCTGAAGATGCCTTTTAACATTTAACTATAGCATTTTATTTAGCTAACGGCAGTGAGCACCGAGTAGACACGTGGGAACAAACATGACACATCTATATTGTTTATTGTGTTCCTCCTGGTTCCACCGCCTGAACTTCTCAGGACAAGCTGGTTTCTTTCTGACGCAGTCGCTGTTTCTGTTGAGGGCAAATTATTGGATTAAAAAGTCAAAATAAGCAATCAGCCTAAGCAGCCTGACTGACGTGTCTTTGTAACACACCATACTGTTTATATTTGATCATATTTGAATGTTTGATACAATCCAACAATCACATTTTCAATATTTATTCACCTTGTCAATAAATCATCTTACCAGGCTGTTGGGGTTGATCTTTCGTGTCTCCACTTTCTTTTCTGCTGTGATTTTCTTCACTGACAGCTGAGCCTCTTTAAGCCTTATGCAGGATAAAAATCTTGATTTTAATCAAATGCTTCAGTGGTCTGTTGGTGTTGCGGGCAGATTCGTACCTCTGCTTTGAGATGTTCTTGTTCTCTCTCTTCCACCTGGACTTGAAGTCGGCACAGAACTCAAACCAGAGCATGAAGAGGTGACTGGTCATCACCTCCTTCTCTCCAGGCTTGGGCTTCAGTCCAAAATACAGAACCAGGTCCTGGAAACTGAACACAAAGAGAACAATCAAAGCAAAGTTGCTTATTTTTTAGCCATGACCTAGTTTTGGGTAAACACTAAGTTTGGATTTCTGATCTTATGACATTGTTCAGTTAGAGCAACGTTGCCTAATTTTGATCTGTCTGCAGGTTTTTATGTTGGATGTTTGTAACACTTGGTCCCGGTTCACATGGTGACAATAAAGCAGATTTCTGACTTGATTCTCCCCTTCCAACTATTGTAAGGATGCACCCGATTACTGTAACTAAAGATAATCTTATCAGATATTCCTGCTGTGTGGTGTGTTAAGAGTTGTCAGGTCTGCTCAGAAGGACATCGGAACCTCTCAGATCATAAACCGTGGAAATTGAACATGCTGGATTGTCTTGGTCTGATTTCAAGGACGAAGTGCTGCATGTTGAATGGGACATGTAGCCAACCAGTAAGTGAGGTGACAGAATCACATTGCATGCTCCTTTATTACTCAGCTAAACATATTTTATGGATGGATAGGTGGAGGTCCTACACATAGCTGAAGAGGTATAGCGGGCTGTCCAGTAATCCAAAGGTTGCAGGTTCGATCCTGGCTTCCACCAGAGAATGCTGCTGGTGGTTCATGGCAGCCTCGCCTCTGTCAGTGCACCCCAGGGTAGCTGTGGCTACATCGTAGTTCCTCATCACCAGCGTGTGAATGACTGATTGTGTTGTGAAGCACCTTGGGGGGTTGTAGAACCCTAAGAAGGTGGTATACAAACCCAGGCCATCTACCATTTTTATCCACCCATCAAATAACACCTGAGGCCTTTTTATGATCTCTTCCACCAACTCATGGACTAATTTTAGTTCAAACCCTTAAACCAAATTTTCATTCACCACTCTTTCTAAACTCTGCATTTCATCAAATCGTCAACATTCATTCATTCGTTTCTTCATTCGTTAAGCCAAAGGGTGATTTTCTCACCTTTGCTGGGCCGTGGTCAGCTGATAAGACATTTCTGCGTGCTCCTTTCGAGCTGCAAAGAAACCAAAAGATAAATCTTTGTGCACTATAGTTTGACGTGTGCCCTCTTCCAATCTGCTTTAAATATTTGGAAGAGGAGAGCAAGGGGCTGCGGTTGGACGGTAACCTCGGCTGATGGAGCCAGACGACCATTTGGTCTCTTTAAAAACACCAATTATAGTCAGTTGTTAAACAATGGAGCCATTCTTGGGGCCACTTTCAATGCCATCATGACAAAATAACAGGTATGCTACTGATCATCCGTGCCCGTCTCCCTCCATAAAGGTTTTGGGAATCTTTTTCAGACCACAGAAAAACACCCAGAGCTGCAGTTTTAAAGCGTGGCCTAGACGATCATTTTAGTTTTATTCTGAATTAGATCTATTAAAACAATAAGATAATTAAAGTGGGGGAATTAAAATGGCTGAATGGTGTCTTAGCGTCTGAGGTGGGATTTGCTTGGTTATTCCCAAATCTGCCTTATCCCAATCTGGTCCAGTTTTTACCCCCCCCAGGCCTCCTTTGTGGAACATTTATGTGACAAAAACAAAGAATTATGAATACTGTTTAATTTGGCCTTGAATTAGAAACAAATTCATGGATGTGATTTCTCACCAGAGAGAACAAAAGCCTCCATCTTGTCCTTAAATGGCTGCAGGAGCTCCTCGGGAGAATCTGAACAGACTTTCTGTACATTCTTCTCACATTCTGAAACAATCCAGCAAAAAAGATATAAATATTGAGACAGAAAATTGGTTAGACGAGTTAATAGTTATTTAAATGAAACGATCACAAAACAAATAAATTATCCCCCCAAACTTTTAAAGATTTGGTGCGAAAAGTGCTATTATATAGGATTTTCTATCATGTTTGCATTTTAATAGTTTTTTCTTTTAATTTTCCTGTGAAGGAAAATTAGCCTGTAAAATAAATCTGGTACATTTTTATAATTTTTGGTACATAAAAGTTAAATTTGTAGGGAAATGTGGTTCTTGGTTGATTTCTGACACAAACAAGGGAATCTGGGCATAAACTAAACCCCGCCTCCACCTGGGCAGCAGATTATCGGAACAGCTTCCTCTTTCTGATATCACTTATTGAGATTCACCCAGAGATGGCGACTACCTCTCTTCCTCTGCTAGTCTGTGGCTTCACGTTGCTCTGCATTCAATCAGTGGATCAGAGGAGCCAGTCTGCAGAGCCAGCCATAATAGAGCCGAGCCCCTGGTCCCCCACCCCCTGGGCCCCCCCGTGGGCTCGACTGATCTACATCTCCCAGATAAGATTACAGAAGAATACTGTTTTCATTTGGGATTTGTGTAAACTGTTGAGACGAGTATCTCGCCATGCATTGTGCAAGAAGCAGTTCTTTTTGTTTTCTTTTTTCCAAATGAATTTGGTGCCAACAAAAGTTTGCTTATTCCAGACCAAAGAGGCTCAGGGACCTTTGCGTAAACATGGGTAACTGATGAAAAGTGTGGTGCTTTCAGATGTGAGACTACAATTACACAAACTACACACCAATATGGTTTCATCGCCTGAAAATGGTTTTTCTTGAAGAGGTTTGATGATGATAGGTTGGAGCTGTACCTCTCATGAATTCTTCAGTGACAAATCGAGCAATAAAACTAAACTCAGGCTGGAAAGTTGGGAGTCTTCAGGAACTAAACAAAACCCATGCTTTAAAAAGGTTAACATAAATTTAAAGCAACTCTCTGATTCACAAAGTATAAAGTGGTGCTCAGACCAAACTGCATTTTAGTCAAAAATCTCATGGTGAGTTGTTTTTCTAAACTAATATTACACCCTTGTTGATAAGTCTGGCAGAAATAACAACGTTCCAACAGGAAGTGCTACAACCACCTGCTGCAGCTACCTGCACGTAGCAATGAAAGCTCTATGTAAATAGCTGTGTACTGAGAAATTGAGCGCAATGTAATTATTTTTAAAGAAACATTAACATAAAACACAGAAACATTGGAGACTGGAGCTGTTTTAAAGGTCTCGTTCACAAATATATCGTATAATACTTGGTCGTCTGCAAACATGATTAGTCACCGAGTTTCACAAGTATCCTGAAAGTGAAACAGTTCTACAACCTCCATCGTCTCAACTAACTGAAGAATAAAAATAGACGGGGGAGCTATCGGTTCAGAAAAGCCTCTTATACATCACATGAAAAATGTGCTTCCATGGCCCCACCCACCTTGGCTTGCAAAAGCAGAAAGCTGTATGGATATTTGGTTTCTACAAGCCGAGCACGTCTTAAAACATTTTTATCAAGCTACTTACCAACGTTCTGACATCGTAAAGCTACAAATATGTTGTGGAGATAAAAATAAAAAAATATATTACGAAAAAATTAATAAAGTGGTCATCTCGCATTTGTCTTAAAACGTCTGCCAATAAGATGTTTCGGACCGAAAGCAACCATTGGACCATATGGTTGTTGGTCTCGCAAAACCGATGCACTGCCCTGGGTCCTCCACTCATCACACACACGTGCAGAACACCACTGGTGAGAGAGGTTCCTCGCACAATAATATCAGAGAAGGAGAAACAGCCACTGCTACCACTTCAACTTTAGGACAAACTACCAGAGTCCCAAAAAGAAAAACACCATGTGAAGTCACGGACAGCAAAAGACGTTTGGACCAAGAAAACAGTGACTGGTGTTTAGCACTATCTTGTTTGCCCTTGAAATGCAGGTGTCCAGTTCCAGTAGAAGCGACTCAGGGAAGATGGGGGAGGGGTGAGTGTTTTGTGACTATGGGTGTTTCTCAATGTCAAGGTGCCTGGCCTCGTAACGTCACGTGACATGGGAGATAACATTACATTTTATATGCATTAATTTCAATATAAATATATAATGAGCCTTTTACTTTTTAAATCGTCTCTCGTCTCGTCTCGTCTTCCTCCGCTTATCCGGGTCCGGGTCGCGGGGGCAGCATCCCAACTAGGGAGCTCCAGGCCGTCCTCTCCCCGGCCTTGTCCACCAGCTCCTCCGGCAGGACCCCAAGGCGTTCCCGGACCAGATTGGAGATGTAACCTCTCCAACGTGTCCTGGGTCGACCCGGGGGCCTTCTGCCGGCAGGACATGCCCGAAACACCTCCCCGGGGAGGCGTCCAGGAGGCATCCTGACCAGATGCCCAAACCACCTCAACTGGCTCCTTTCGATCCGGAGGAGCAGCGGTTCTACTCCGAGTCCCTCCCGAATGTCCGAGCTCCTCACCCTATCTCTAAGGCTGAGCCCGGCCACCCTACGGAGGAAACTCATTTCGGCCGCTTGTATCCGCGATCTCGTTCTTTCGGTCATTACCCAAAGCTCATGACCATAGGTGAGGATTGGGACGTAGATCGACCGGTAAATCGAGAGCCTGGCTTTCTGGCTCAGCTCCCTCTTCCCCACGACAGATCGGCTCAGCGTCCGCATCACTGCAGACGCCGAACCAATCCGCCTGTCGATCTCCCGATCCCTCCTACCCTCACTCGTGAACAAGACCCCGAGATACTTAAACTCCTCCACTTGAGGTAGGACCTCTCCCCCGACCCGGAGGTGGCAAGCCACCCTTTTCCGGTCGAGAACCATGGTCTCAGATTTGGAGGTGCTGATCCTCATCCCAGCCGCTTCACATTCGGTCGCGAACCTACCCAGCAAGAGCTGAAGGTCAGAGCTGGATGAAGCTAGGAGGACCACATCATCCGCAAAAAGCAGAGACGAGATTCTCCTGCCACCAAACTCGACACACTCCACACCACGGCTGCGTCTAGAAATTCTGTCCATAAAAGTGATGAACAGAACCGGTGACAAAGGGCAGCCCTGGCGGAGTCCAACCCTCACTGGGAACAGGTCCGACTTACTACCGGCTATGCGGACCAAACTCACGCTCCTCTGGTAAAGGGACTGAATGGCCCTTAACAGAAAGCCACCCACCCCATACTCCTGGAGCGTCCCCCACAGGGTGCCCCTGGGGACACGGTCATAAGCCTTCTCCAAATCCACAAAGCACATGTGGATTGGTCGGGCAAACTCCCATGCCCCCTCCATCACCCTTGCAAGGGTATAGAGCTGGTCCACAGTTCCACGGCCAGGACGAAAACCACATTGCTCCTCCTCTATCTGAGATTCAACTATCGATCGGACCCTCCTCTCCAGTACCTTGGAGTAGATCTTTCCAGGGAGGATGAGGAGTGTGATCCCCCTATAGTTGGAACACACCCTCAGGTCACCCTTCTTAAAGATGGGGACCACCACCCCGGTCTGCCACTCCCTAGGAACTGCCCCCGATGACCACGCAATGTTGTAGAGACGTGTCAACCATGACAGCCCTACAACATCCATAGCCTTGAGATACCCAGGACAAACCTCATCCGCCCCCGGGGCTCCGCCGCTGTGTAGTTGTTTGACTACCTCAGCAACTTCTGCCCCCGAGATCGGACAGTCCATCCCCAGGCCTCCCAGCTCTGGTTCCTCCTCGGAATGCGCATTGGTGGGATTGAGGAGCTCCTCAAAGTATTCCTTCCACCGTCCGACTATAGCCTCAGTTGATGTCAGCAGCTCCCCATCCCCACTGTAAACAGTGTGAGCGAGTTGCTGCCTTCCTCTCCTGAGGCGCCGGACAGTTTGCCAGAACCTCTTTGGAGCCGATCGATAGTCTTTCTCCATGGCCTCACCAAACTCCTCCCACGCCCGAGATTTTGCCTCGGCAACTGCCACTGCTGCACCCCGCTTGGCTTTCCGGTACCTGTCTGCTGCCTCCGGAGACCCACTGACCAGCCACGCCCTGTAGGCCTCCTTCTTCAGCTTGACGGTTCCCCGAACCTCTGGTGTCCACCAGCGGGTACGGGGGTTGCCACCACGACTGGCACCGGCCACCTTACGACCACAGCTATCAACAGCCGCCTCGACAATCGCAGAGTGGAACAAGGCCCACTCGGACTCAATGTCCCCCACTGCTCTCGGGACGTGGTCAAAGCTCTGCCGGAGGTGGGAGTTGAAGACCGCCTTGACAGGTTCTTCTGCCAGGCGTTCCCAGCAGACCCTCACTATGCGTTTGGGTCTGCCAGGTCTACGCGGCATGTTCCCTTGCCATCTGATCCAACTCACCACCAGGTGGTGATCAGTTGACAGCTCCGCCCCTCTCTTCACTCGGGTGTCCAAAACATACGGCCGCAGGTCAGATGATACGACTACAAAATCTATCATCGACCTGTGACCTAGGCTGCCCTGGTACCAAGTGTACCGATGGGCATCCTTATGTTCGAACATGGTGTTCGTTATGGCCAAACTGTGGCTTGCACAGAAGTCCAATAACAAAACACCGCTCAAGTTCAGATTAGGTGGGCCGTTCCTCCCAATCACACCCCTCCAGGTCAAGCTGTCATTGCCCACGTGAGCATTGAAGTCCCCCAGCAGGACAATGGAGTCCCCTGATGGAGCACTATCTAGCACTCGTCCCAGGGCCTCCAAAAAGGGTGGGTACTCTGAACTGATATTTGGCCCATAAGCACAAACAACAGTCAGGACCCGTTCCCCGACCCGAAGGCGCAAGGAAGCTACCCTCTTGTCCCCCGGGGTAAACCCCAACACACAGGCAGAGAGTCTCGGGGCTAACAAAAAGCCAACCCCAGCCCTCCGCCTCTCACCCGGAGCAACTCCAGCAAAGTAGAGTGTCCAACCCCTCTCCAGGTCTCGGGTTCCAGAGCCAATGCAATGTGTCGAGGTGAGTCCGACTATATCTAGCCGGTACCGCTCAACCTCTGCCACAAGCTCCGGCTCCTTCCCCGCCAGCGAGGTGACGTTCCACGTCCCAAAAACTAGTTTTCTTGTCCGGGGATTAGACCGCCAAGGCTCCCGCCTTGGTCTGCCACCCGATTCACATTGTGTATATGTTTATTAAATTAAAAATATAAGCGAGTTACTACCTGCTAGCCACTAAAGCTGCAGCTACTAAGCAACTAACCAACCATAGATAACTTCTTCGGATCTAAAAAAAAACATTTTATTATTTATTTTTTATTAATATTTATTAATTATTTGACTTACTTTTAAACTTGAAAATTGCCCCCGAAGTAGCTACCGGCTTCTGATCTGAAAATACTGCGGTGTATTCTGGGTAATTTTTGACCAAGGCTAGGCTACAAGACACCTCCCGTGTGTCCTTGCACAGCTAGCTAAACGGCTAACAAACGGAGAACACACGCCTCTTTAGAACATGAACACTGGAACATGACTTGGCGGCTCCTGATGACGTATCTCCTAGGCAACCGGGGCAGGGCCAAGACATCAAGGCAAGGTTCCTTGGCAATGAGAAACACCCCGTGTTTGTGTTCAAAAACTAGCTTGTTCTGTAGATTCACTAGAACAGCTTTAAAAAGGTAAGACTGTAATTTTTCTCCTGCAATAAATATTTACCCCCTGAACGCGGTGTGCCGGAGCTATTTTTTTACAGAACACAACTCACAAGGCATTCATTCATTCATACTAGAAGCCACAGAAAATGTATTGAAAAAAATGAGTGAATGAGAACTTTAAAACCATGGAAATCTATTTTGGTTTTGTCATCTGGATTAGCTGATAGCTTCAGTCAGAAGTCATTTTTCTCCAAAGTTCAAAGCTATCTGCGACAGGTAAGATGCTACTATTTTCAAAAAGACCAGTATGTGGGTCATTTGGACCACATCACTAAAAGTGCACTGGTTGGCAGGGTGTTCATTTAAAATGCAACAATTATGGGAATAAAATGTAAATGTTATACACTTTAATGACTTTTATCTGCACAAGATTCTTTTACAAATTTAATTGATGATGCATAAAAAAGCGATGTCTTTAAGTGCATGTCTGGATTTTGTGCAACTTCTATATCATTTCATTTCAACAGATGACTCTGGGAGAAACTAAACCGCATTAAAAGAGTCGCTGCAGCCTAACGGGTACACAGGGAGAGTGAAGAACAACAAAAGCGAGGCTTCAAATCAGGCATGAGGGCATTTCAAACGGACTGAACAAAGGGAAGCTGCGACAGGCGATCTAGATCGCAAGCTAGTTTGGGTTGATGAGCCGATAAGATGAAGCTGTGTTGAGAGGTAAAGAAATCTATCTGTGGGGCACATCTGGGGGCCACACGGGTGCCCAGGCGATACCAGCGAGCAGGTTAAGAATCTACGCTTCTCCGCAGAGATGTAACAGATACCAGAGGTCTGGAGATTACATAAGTAGAAAGCTACAGTCTCCCCTGTGCTGGCGACATGGGCGCAAAAACACAACAATGGGACATCTGATGGGCAGAGGGATTAGAAGCTGGATCTGTAAGGCGCCAGGCAAGTATATCAGCAGCTAGACTCCTGCAAGTCGCCCAACACACACACACACACACATACACACACACACACGCACACACACACACGCACGCACGCACGCACACACACACACACACACACTAGCACATTTGCTCATGTACTGTACGTATTGTCTTCAGGGTTGCTTCTGGCTCCCTGGCATGCAGAATGGCGTCATGAGGGCACACTTAGGGATAAGAAAGACGAGAGGAAATCTTTTGTTCTGCAGCTTGAACACTCAGACTGGGGCCGGCTTTGGGAAACCAGGGTGGTGAGTTTTTAGAGGGGAAGGGGGACGTCAATGAAAAAAAAGATGCTAGACTGGGCCGAGGTTTGTTCTGTGGGAAAAAAACAGTGATAGAATTACGCGGACCGGGTTTGGCTTTCAAACAAAAACACAGCAAAATGACCACAAGTGGAGACTCCTCCTGGTCCAGACTCGCCGTGCAACCATCTAAAGTCAAAAGGGGGGTGGGGGGGTGGGGGGGTGTTTCTAGAGCTTGTTTCCACATCAACAATGAAGGGGTGGGGGGGTGGGGGGGGGTGTCACGTACTCGACAGATCTTGCTGGAGCTGCTTTAGATCTCCGCTGAGGTCATCGAATTTGACCTGTGCTGCCAGGAAGACGTCCTGAGGGTCAGGCAGAGGAAACGCACTCTTGTCTGTGCCGGAGCTCTGATGGAACACAAGATGTCAAAATGGCAACTCCTACCCAAATCAATAAAGTGAAATTGTAAACCAGTTTACCGGACGTGTTTAAGCTGGAGTAAAACGAAGAAATCAACGACAGAAGAGAACGAATGATTAATTAATACCTTGTCCACGTTGTGCAGGTAGTAAGACACCACATAGTCCACCAGGCTAATCCGATTATCCTAAGAAAGACAAAAATCATCCTTTTTATGTGAAATCTGTAAAGTCATGAAACCACAATGAACCGTTAGATCATATTTGTGTCACAGCATCTTCTGAGAAGTTCTGTCGTTATCAGATGAAGCTGCTAGCACCACCCAGAGGTTTTATAAACCGTGGTTGTACACATTGACACTCGAAACATGTAAAACTGGATTCCCCAGCTAGCTGTAAATTATTACGCTCGATGTTTTTTCCTTCCCTTTGTCCGACTTCATTCATCCGAGACAGTTCCGAGGACAGATGTTTTGATTTTGCTGGATTGTCTTAAAAATCTGAGCATAGCTGAACCTCTATAGAAGAAATTGTGCATTTGCTTGTGTGTTTATTACAACCTCAAATTCATCATTTGTGAAAACTTACTGAACCCTTATAATCATGGACGTAATTTTGGGGGGGGACAGGGGGGACATGTCCCCCCCCACTTTTTCCAAAGTCAAGTTTTGACCCCTGCACTTTTTACCATCCAAAAACAATATTACGCTATGTTAAATTGACACTGGTTGAGCTCTAGGACCAAGCAGAAAACAACCGTTTGTGTTGAAGCCTGTTTCCCATTAGAGCATACTGTAAAGATACACCCCGTCCCCCCCACTTCTAAAGTGAAAATTACGTCCATGCTTATAATCTATTTATGGGAAACCTGATGATTCATTCAATTACCTCCAATTGAACCCTTCCTTTCTTCTTCTTATTGTCCATTAGTGACAAACATGCAAGAAGTTTGAATTTTGCTGCGATATTTTGCATTATTCTAGATCTAAATGGTGTTTGTTTCCCTGGAGGATTGTCTTTTATCCTCACCTCCATTATGCTGAGAGGAAAGGTGGCAGGTCTCACCTTGCTCTTGACGTCCTTTAGCTTTGGGAGGATTTCCAGACCAAAGCCGTCAGCCTGACCTCGGACCCTGTTGCCCCCGTTCATGTGGTTTCCCAGGGCCAACACCAGCCCCATCACTTCCCTGACGCCGCTGCTCTCCAACAGAACCTTAAAACCGATTTATAGTTGTTTTATTTCCTCCGATGATTTGGGTTTCAGCACAGTTTATATTATTTTTTTTACCTTACACACAGAGGAGACAGAGTTGAGTTTGCGTTTAATGGAGGTGATCCCATCGATGAAGGTTGACTTGAAGATGATGCACCAAGCTCTGCCAGCAAAAGCAGGGATCTGAGACAGCTCGTACAGGAACCTGGAGGGCATTCACACGATTTGATTTTAGTCGGCTTAACCACAGCAGAGAGAATAAACGGTTATAACGCTGGTTGGAATACAGACTGCTCAGGTTTGTCCAGCAGTTTAACATCCTCTTCTTTTGACGTCTCGTAGTGTTTCCTGATCTTCTCCAGTTCTTCTGGATGACCTCTCTGACAGAGTGAAGTCAAATGTTGAAGCAGCAACCAAAGCTCCAGGTTAATAAAACGTGAGTGCAACACTTACGTTGTCATACAGCGCCTCAATGGCCTCCAGGTCCACCACAGAATGATCCACCGCTACAACAGCTGGAAAAGTGAATAAATAAGACAGATCTGATAAGGAGAACATGTCTGAAACAGAGTAAGAGAAGGAGGGAACCACTCCCTCATTTACTTAGAAAAATATTTAGCGAGGTGATGCTTACTTCCTGTGTTTGTTTTGTTGCATTTTCTAGCAGGTAATAAGTCTGTGCTGCAATTTTTGTAAAATAATTTCTATTCCTGGTAAATTTATTTATTTAACCTCAAAATGCTTAGTGTACTTTTAAATGTCAGCACGCAGTCCTTGCACAATTTATAAAAATGCCCTAGAGCGTTTGTTTTTTGGGGTTAAATTTGCATGAACTATACACTTTACACAGGAATCACACAAAATCTAAAATCAAAGGTGCGGTATGACAAGATTCATGACAAAACTCTCCCTCACCTTGCTGAATGTCTTTCATCTCCAGGTGGAGACTGGATATGAGGATGCCCACAGCCTGAGAACGCTTACTGTCCAATAGCTTAATGATCTAGAACACACACACACACACACACACACACACACACACACACACACACACACACACACACACACACACACACACACACACACACACACACACACACACACACACACACACACACACAGTTATCATGGCTACATGACCACCAGAAACCATTAGTGAGAGAGAGCAAGGTGAACGTGAGTAAAACAAACACCTGGTGGTCAAATTACACAAATCCTACATCTGTGACCATGCTGGAACAAGTAGGGTGTGCCTTTTGTAAATGTTATCAGTTAAATCTGGTCTGATGTCAAAATAAAATTAAATTAAATTTAAAAACAAAGGATGTCACACATATATGTCATGTCGGAGAGCTCCCTGTTGCTCATGCCAAAATGACATTGTGTTTTATTTTGAAAGAATTCACAGTAAAGGTTTTTCAGAGGGATGCGCAATATTGTTTTTTTCCAGATACCAATTTAAACCAATACTGACATATGCGGTGTCCCACTCTCAAAAAAAAAAAAGAAAACTAAAACATTTAGGTCACTAACATCACATATCTCCTATCATGCTTAAACTTTAAACATTTTCTGTGAACAGCTATAAGAAAAGGGCCATTTTTATTTTGTCTCCTAAAGCAGCTGAATCTCATTCTCCCTGAGCCTGTTACTAAGATGCGTGTATTAGTTATTAATGGATTCTTAGAAACTTTCCGTATATTGCAGTTATGTTCATTACACAGGGCAAACTTCTACTTCACAAGTTGTGCCAAATTTACTGAAATTTTTCAAAAATTAAACCTCAGATCTGTCATGTTTTGAGAGACTAATGTAGCTAAAGAGTTTGATGTAAGATACGTGTGTGGTATGTAAAGGTCGTGTCATTAAAAGACTGAAATCCAATACCAATGTTTTCTGATATTAAATTTTAATGCTGATATGGCTAATATTAATGGGAGACCGATAATCGAATATCCCCAATTTTTACTAAATAGCTATTATAAAATAATTTACAGGAAACCCACTAAGTAACTATTGTAACTTTACTCCATAATAAATACTCCCCAACAGACAAAAAAAATTGTTTTCCATCTTTATTGAAGAGTGGAGGTTAATGTTTTTATTAGAACCAGAGTGTAGTTCCAGCTTGTCGCCACAGGAAGGCGATAATGTCCCCCTTTGGTTTATATAAAGTGAATAAAAACTGAGTTAGCAGCGCTGTAGCTAGCCGTGTTTAGCACTTTGACTCCACACAGCCATCCCAGTTAAACAATATTTAACACGGTTTTAAGGTTACTTGCTAGTTATGAGTATAGCTCATCGACAAGTGAAAACGACTCATTGGAAGACTACTTCCTGTTTTTTTAAACTACTTCCTTTTTCTAGAGACGCCGCTAGCTTTCAGTGACGTCATATGCAGGTAGGGTCCTAATTAATGTCTTTAAAAATGACCAAAACAACACTTTTTTGTGCATAGCTGCGTTCGAGGCTTGTGTTGAAATGAAACTGAAGTTGTTTTGTTACCTTTCTTGCTTTGGCTTTTTTCTCGTAAGCCTCTGACAGCGGCTTTCTCTTGGTTTTCGTGATGGTTTTAGCAAACAGGTCCTCAAACTCGCTGGCGTTGATTATGCGGTGTTCCTCTAGGATGTTCCACAGCGAGTTGTTGCTGATAGAGAGAACATTTTTATTCAACTTGTCAAAATAACTTCAGGGTTTGCAACAGCGTTGGAGTGTTTATTAGAAGTGTAACGTTTTGGGAACTAAACAGTGACTTGGTACCAAAACCTGTCACAAGTGTAACTTAAAACACCAATTTTTCTAAAAGACAGTTTAAAAAGTTGCTACATTTTTCTTTATTTACCTAATTAACTTTGAATTATGTAAGCAGACACAATTAAAAGAATAACTATAGTAATAATAAAGGTCACTTTAACCCACTTTTTCTAAATATGCTTTAGCTGACATTCTAAGTTTTATGAAAGCAACATTCACTTGAATGTAATTTTATTTACTTGTCGTCCTGGATCTGGATTCTAGTCCAGTAAAGGGGCTTCATGGGTCTGGAAGGCTCCAACGCTGGTTTCCTGGGGGGTTTATCAATAGTGAGACCCCCAGCTAGAGGAGGTGGTGGAGGAGGAGCTGCTCCTGGTACTGGGGGAGGAGGCGGAAGCGGAGGTGGGGGTGGAGCTGGACACAAAGATGGTGGTAGAGGAGGTGTGATCTGTTTGGTAGGTCCTGCTGGTTCTGAATGAGGCTGATTATCTTCAGGAGGAAGGGGGTGAACGCAAGTTTCGGGTGCTGAAGAGGAGGACAAGCTCTCATCATTCTGTCCTGCCAGGCTGAGACGGATGGACACCATGTCCAGTTTATTTGGAGCCACCTTCTGCAGCAGGGGCCTCCGGCAGGCTCTCCTGGGAACATCTTCATCCTCGGAAATTCTTATGAAGGCTTCTCGGTCTGTCTGAATGCCCACTGTGCGGAAAGATTTGTGCAGGAAGTCGTCTGTTGTGAAAACAGCTTCGTCTTTTTGTTCTCCAGGCTGATGGGTCCAAACCTGGGACAGTTTGGCTTGTAAGTCGTTCAAAACGGACTCCAGGCGAAATATCTTTTCCTTGTTTTCCAGCTTCTGTCTGGAGAGTTTGAGTTCATAATCCTCCTGCAAATCATAAGAGGAAAAGTCAGTAAAAGATACATATAAAGCTGATTTTACAGGTTTGGTTCAGTTTGTGCCTCAGTAACTCTGACAGGATGTAGGATCTAGTTAAACTATTTTAAAATTAAATAGTAACCAGATTAAACTTCTCCTTCATACTGACCTGTAGCTTCTCCAGCTCCTCTTCACGTTCTCTCTTCAGCTGCAGGAGTGCAGCCTGGTGCTCTGAGCACCAGGGCAAAAACAAGAGAAAATTATTTTACTGCACCATCTTTTTGTCCTGCAGCTGGAAATAAAGCAAATGCTAACGTTTACACCAACAAAACCTAGCACTAGATTAAATTTCATGTAATTATCTAAAAGAAACATTTGACTTCTGCTGAAATCTGTGCACTGCTCAAGGAAAAAACATTTTAATTAAAGTCAAACTAAAAATAACTCTCAAGTATCACCAGAAGATGGCAGCATAACTCACAGGTTATCTTTCTGGCATCTTAAATAATCTAAATAAACATTTGAGGTCAAATATAGGGAGTATATTTGCTATCATCCAGCTGACAAGTGTTTACACAGATGTGGGCTTGTACTGGAGAAGATAATCCTTTTTCAAATAGCATTAATAATCCCACAGAGGAACAGATTACACAACAGTAATGAGATAATTCCATCAGCATTAAAGAGATAACATGTCATCAATATCGTTTTATGATTTTTTTTATTGATGACGTTTAAGGCTCTTACTGGTTGCCCTGCTCGAGGTCACTAAGTCATCCTTGCACCTGACGGGTGCAACAACCAGGATGAGGCCTGCTGTTAATCTGTGTTTGCAATGCGGCTAATCTCTTGCTGAATGAACCAGGCAGGCTCCAGGCGTATCTCCTCAGTACACCTTAAAGGTGTTCTTTATTAAACTTAAAGAGCAAGTCACCACCTACCAGAGTATTACTCCGCTCCCACTTCCTGTTTGAAAAATGCTACAAATGCTTTTGCCTAGCAGACCGAGAGGGCGGAGCTGCTAACAAATACACACACACACAGGCTCACAACGACATTGTGAAATCATATGGTACCAGCTAACGTTTCTAGGGTACCTCTTAGCCAATAGCGATGGCAGATTTAAATTCAAATGCAGTGCAGAGTTTTTACCTGACAACGGCACAACACTGACAGTTTTAGGCAGAAAATTAAAATTTTAACTAAAATGCACTAAAGAGCTAAATTATTGACTACATGTGTCTGCAGCACGATTAGACACACATTTATATAGTTTATCAGAAAAAAAGTTGATTTGGGGGTGACTTGCTCTTTAAAGTAAATAATTCTGTCTGAGCAGAAAACACTTGTTTCTGGGTGGTAAAACGATGATAATGAAATAAAACGAGGCCTTGCCACCAGTAGATCCTCCACTAGAGTGCAGTACACATGTACAGGCTTGCATATGGCAGGTTTGTGATGAAGGTACTAGTCCTGATCTTCTGACTGGAAGCCTTAAAGCCATAAGTGGTTTGATGTTATAAACATGTCTTGTTATTAAACATTTCTGTTTCATCTCACAGCTTCTGGCCACAGAAATAGGTTTAGTATACAGTTTAATCCTTAGTCCCACTATCTAATCTGAAAACTTTCACCAGCTTCAGGTGGAGTCAGGATGACAAACAGGGAGGAGTTTTGTTTGCTTTCTGTGTAACACATCCACCGTATGACAGACATAAGCAAACACTCCTCACGCCTAACTTTATGTTATCTGTCCCCTTTTTTATTTTATTCTACTTAGCTTAGACTTTTAAAGTAATTTAGACTGACTGGATAGTAATTAAAATTAAAAAAGTTTTATTTTAATGTAAGAAAATTCTGAATACATATATTTTTTAAATGACTGACTTTTATGTCTGCTGGGTCTTACTAATTCTAAATAAATAAACAAACACTAAAAGTGCTGTGACGACAGGATGACAAACTAATGCAGTTTCTACATGGATTTCATTTTTATTACAGATGGAATTTTCTAAATACTTCCCTGTTTCATTTTTGATAGTCTTACCTTTATTATTTTTAATTATTCACAACATTTAAAGAAATTCAAATGTATGTTTTATTCTGAAGCTTAGAGAAATTATTTAGATTTTGGAATTTTAATTGTGCACAAAACAGTTTATTTCTGTGTAATTTAATTAAAATAATCTGTAAATATTCTAAAATTGCACGCACAAAACATTAAACGTTGTTTCTGCATAAAAGATCTTTAATATTCAGCAAACAGAATTTAGAATAATCCTTATTAAGTGTTTTTATTCTGTGCATCAGGTTTAAACAGGTCAAACACTTCATCATGAGACCGTTAAACACGAATCTTTACAGGTGAGGTTTACCTGCTTCAGTATACTTTAGCCCGACCTTTTCCACCTTCAAAGGCGGCCAAACTGCATGAAGACGACCAGGAGTTCGTTCCCCTCCGTCTCCTGGAGACCATGCGTCTGTCTGAGGAGAGATCACATACTTGTTGCTTTTCTGCTCTTTCGTGGTTTTTTTATTAAAGCACCAAATGGGTTTTAATTTATTTTAATTGCCTTTAATGTTTTGGGAGATATGTTTTTATTCATGCATGACAGAAGCAGCGGTCCAATCAGACTTGAAACGTCTCGCGTTCGAGGCTCTCTTACTTTGCTGTCAGATGTTTCGTTCTTCTCGGGTGTTTTTTTGGAGCTTTTCTCAAAAAGCGCCCTCAGCACGTCTTTATCAGTTCTGATCTTCTTCCTCATCGCCTCCAGGTCGACATTTTCTGGGTCTTTCTTCAGAGGTTTTGGAGAGAAAAAGGCTTTGAAGGCATCGAAGGCCGCCTCTGCACTGGAGACGTTTCTGATGGGCTCGACGGGCTCAGAAACGTTTGCTGTTTCTTCTCTTTCACCGTCTGATCCTCCTCCACCCTCATCCTGGAGGTGTTCATCCCCCAAAGATGCACCCTGTTTCTCATCAGCCCTCTTTTCCCGACTCAGAAACTGGGAGATCTGGTCCAGGATTCCCACCTGAGCCTTTATGTCGTCCCGTTTTTCTGCTGAAACGGACCTCTTCTCTCCCAGAGGAGATGATTTTGTCTGAGCTGCGGTTTGGTGCTCAGATCTGACGCCACCCTCCCTCTGGGCCCTCAGGCCCCTGAACAGAGCCGGGGGCTGGATCTGCTTGTCCCCCGGAGAGAAGGTGGCTCTGGTGAGGGTGGATCGAGGTGGAGGGATGACGGGATGGTGGACAGAGACATGAGAGGTGTCCTTCTCCACCCGGTCCTGTTCTGCATAACCAACATGTTTCACTATTATTATGGGATGTTTGGTTTGAAGTTGTCCAGCTTGTCCAGACGCCTCAGAATCAACTTTCTCACGGCCGATTTTCACTTCCTGGTTGGTTTCTTTGGCCTCATCCTGTTTGGCATCAATAGTTAATAAAACATCGCGTTGTGTGGTTTTGCTACCGAAGGAAACGTCCTGACGTTTCTGCAGAAGCACACGTCCATCCGGAGATGAATCCTCCTCCTCGTCACAATTTGCTCTACAGCTGTTTTTATCCAAGACCCTTTCCTCATTTAAGGCATCGCTTCTCTGCTCTTGCGACGTTAAATCCTGGTTCTCCCCCTCTGAGGCAGCTCCTTCCTTCCCGAAATCTAATCCTCCCAGTTTGACCGGAGCTTTCTGACTTTCATGGAGCATCTTGGCAGAATTTAAGGATTCTTTACAAAACTCAAGAGCATCGTTACGTTTCTGTCTTCTTCTAGGGGATTCAGAAAATATTTGCTCCGGGTTAAAGGTAAAGAAAACGCATTGGCAGTAAAAACAAAAACAAACTCTTTCAGCTTCATGCAGCGTCAGGCTTTTATCTCCGCAGGAGGTTTTGTCTGAATCGAGCTTTAAAATGCGAGTTGTTGGTGATCCAGGGATTCATTCTTTGTTCCAAATGTTTCCAACTGCACCAGAGGTCTAATTTTCCAACCAGCTCTCAGCGGTTCGTCATGGCAACAGCTGGAAAAAAAATCCACAAAATAATGGAAAAGTTTCCTGCAGCAGCAGCTTGTTGACTCAGTTCAGCCACATGCAGGAAAAGTCAGATCCACGTTCCAGCTTCTGATTTCTGTTTTAGTCTGTACCTGCGCTGCTACTGGGCGTCCTCTTGCAGGTTGTCTCCGATGGGAAGCGGGTGGTGTCTCTGACAACAACTGGACATCCCAACCTGAGCCAGCAGGACAGGCGGAGGGATACCACACCCTGGAGGAGGGCACACAGGACCGCACAGATCGCTTGTTCAACATTTGTCCTGCATATCCAGCCAAGGAGGTGGAGAGCGATTCCTGTCGGATCTGAGAGTCAGACTCGATATCCCACAATCTGTCACCGTCTCACACGTTCATATGAATGTTTTTGTTTAAATTTAAGTTGAAAGTAGGGCTGAACGATTTTGGAAAATAATCTAATTGCAATTTTTTTTACTTCAATATTGCAACTGCGATTTAATTCACAATTATTTTCTCAAGGGGCTTTTCTCATTTTCCAACTAACAGAAGCAAAAAAAGATCTATGTAACTTGTACTGAATATAAACACGTTTGTGTATCTACATATATCAACAAGTTTATTTGTCTACACATTCATGAACACACACAAGTAAAGACGACATCTTGTATTTGAAGGTGCAATGCTTTGCTGCCATGAGCACATCCCTTGAAGGAGAATAGGTATTAGAATCAACTGTGAAAATGTATTAGCAGGAAAGAAGTGTGTCCCATTTATTCAAGTCTTTTGTGTTTAGAGTTTTTGACGTCTCTTGTCCATGCAGAGCTTCCGTAGTTCAGTTACGTTCACAGCTGCTAGCCAAAACTCAGTGGAGTTGAAGTCTCTTATGGTTTTCTAGCTTTACTAAAATATCTGTCTGTACTTATTTGATTAATGGCAGTTTTTACTTTTTATTAGACTCCAAATGTAATAATTTGGCACGTTCGTTCAGCCCTAGTTGAAAGCAAACTTTTCCTTTAGCATTTTAAATAAATACACTAGCTTAATGAAATAAGTGTGCAACCGATGAAAAAGTCAGAAGATTGTGACTGAAAAGACTAACAAGTACATGAAACAATAAAAACACACAATTTAACCACCGCTTACACGCTTCAGCTGCAGAGCTGATGAACTTTTCACGGACAGTAAGTCTCTAAAATATAAATATATGAGAACACAACATGACATGAGAATAATACTCGTAAAACTACGCGTTTTAGCTGTTTGTCGGCTACAGAAGGACATAAACTAGAAACGTGAAGTCGCCATCTTAAAAAATGGTTCCAGAGACTTTGTGTGACCGTCGGATAAGAGAAATTCTCCGGAAAGATGCTTTAAGATATATTTAAAAGTCAGTTTAAATTAAATTGCATCATAATAAAAACAAAAGGCTGTCAAACCTTGAAGCAAAACTAGAAGAAAATGTACAAAATTCATCAATTTTGAGCATTAATCTACAAGTCAAAGATCTAAATAAACGCTGCCTGAGAGTAGCAGGGTTGTAGGGGTCGCTAAAGTGATTTTTAAACATCCTCTCACTTGTGTTTGCATTATTCTTCATGTTCGGGATGGTTCCTCCCTTGTTTGCTCTCATGAAGCAACAAAGATAAGTTTGTATTTTATTACACTGTTTGCGTTTCTCTTGCTTCTGCAGCGCTTCAGTGAGCTCCAGATCGTCTTCGCTGTAGATTATTAAACCTTTAAGGTGCTTTGGCCTTTTTGCACCAGGTCGTGCGTTTATGTAGGTTGGAGGGAAGTCTGGTCTGGGAACCCAGGGTCCCATGTCTGCTTTTTACTATAGCAATGTGATTCTGTTTGGGCTGCAAGAAGGTTCAAACCAGGCCCCCACAATGCAACTCTGAAATTGAGTCAAACCCGGAAGTGACAAAAATTGCAGTTCCACCCTCATCCGCTGGGGGCTGGTGTCAGAAGCGAGCAAATCCTCATTGACTCCCATGTTAAAAACACCAATTTCACAGCAGAAATAAACATGTTTACAGCCTGGTACCAAAACATGTTTTTGGTTTAAATGATCTAGTTTACACTCATGACAACTCTGAGGGGGGTGAATTTTTTTCTCACTCTTCTGTTTAAGTGTATTAAAAGCCTAAAATTCTGTATAATTAATGATCATCAGACCCACGTGACCACAGAGCTAGCTCCGTGGAAAGGCCTCAGTAGAGCCTCGGCCTGGCTTGGAAACTGCTCCGGGATTTTGAGTCTCTGTGTTTGTGTATTCTTTTTTGGATATTATTTGTGCAATTGTTGGACAAAATGACTTGCTGTGGCATTAATTGCACTAATAGAGCGTCCAAGGAGTCTCCACTTCATTTTTTTCGGTAAGTAATATTATATTTATGTATTTTAGGTCACTGCCGAGCTGAGCTTAGATTTTAACATGTACTGTTTAACCATGAAATTTAAATGTAATAGGGTAAAACCCAGTGCATTTAACATAATGCTGCACTTTAGAAAATGGGTTGAAATATAACATGTTGGTGGAGCTGGGTTCCGACTGTCGGCTTGTGGAGCTCTCGGGAGACCGATGTTTTCCACCCTTATCCCCTCCCCGCAGCCCGGTCCATCTCTGTCTGATCGCGGCTTGTTTGCTGTGCGTGGGCTGACGGCTGGTTCTTATGGCAAGCCAGAACCGCCAAAATACACCACGTCTCCCAGCAGCTTGGTGCATCTCTGTCTGCTGCACGGGCTGACGGCTTGTGGAGGTCTGGGATGGAAACCTTTCTCACCTGGTTCTCCCCAGCGGCAGCTTTGCGCATCTCAGATCGCAGCGGCGCTTGTCTGCTGTGTGGCTGCCAGCTTGTGGCGCTCTCCGAGACCTCCACAGAGGTCTCAGAGACCTCTGTGTTCCACCCGGTTTTACCCAGTGGTCAGCCTGGCGTATCTCTGACTCAGAAGCTCTGGTGTTGTGCACAGTTAACTCCGGTTGTAGCTAGGTTGCTACCTCCTTTAGCTTAGCTCCCACTTCCGCATTAGCTTTGGGTTAGCTTCAGGTTAGCTTGTAGCTAGTTCGAACGGGTGTCGTCAGCCTTACAGCCCCACCCTCAGCTCCACCTCTCTTCCCTTTTATGGAATTGTCTGGGCTTGATGGAACCTGTGACACGGTCAAAATGGCGGTGGTGGCCACCTCCCATTTGGCCTCAAAAACGTGTTATTGGAGTCTGTGGAAACCCATTGTCCATAGATTTATGTCGATGGTTCAAACCCCGGCTCAACCTTGGGTGGAGTTAGCATGTTCTCATGCATGTGTGGGGTTTCTCCGGGCACTCTGGTTTCCGCCCACCAACCAAAAACATGCATGTAGGGTTTATTGAAATGTTCGTAGGTTTGAGTGAGTATTTGGCTCCTTGGGAAAAGGAATGAGTGGTTCTTAAGCCCTGACCTTCTCCAGAGTATAGCCAGGGTAAGATTCAGTTAGAGGCTGAGGTTCTTGGCTAGAAAAAGGTGGAAACTTCTTCTCTGAGTTGGGTTCTGGTTATTTGGTCTGCTTCTCAGGTGCCATTGTCTAAAGGACCAGAGTCATCTGCAGTGATGAAGGTGTTGATCTGCTTTTTTGAGGTAAAGAAGGACCTGAGCTGTGTCGGAGGTTCCTCTAAGGCCCACCTAGTTGGTCCCTGATGTAAAGAAAAAAAGATCCCAGATACAAGAATCAAAAATGATTATTCTGTGTGGTATGGTCGGACGCATCCCGCTGCTCCTCAGCATCAAAAGAAATGAGCTGAGGTGGTTGTGATTAGGAAACATTCAGGGGGTTTCCCTCAATCTGGCTACCCCAGAGACCTGACAACACCCTGGGATCGTCCAGGATGAGTTGGATAGTGTCTCTGGATTTTCCTCCTGGATCTGTTGCCTTCACATCTTAGTAGCAACAAAATGGATGGATGGTTTGTGTGTGTCCTCCAGAAATGTCAGCAGCTCAGACGATGCTCGTGTGGTACCCAAAACTTTCCATTTCTCTATTTAAACTCTTTGGATTATAATTTACAGATTAGCTCTGTGCAATGTTTTTTTTTCAGCTCCAGCTCAAAGATATCCATACTTTCAAATCATGAAAATGTTCTCAAGTCCACCAGTTTAGACGTTAATTTGTCTTACCCTGAGTTGGAGGACAGGCGTGTCCGTGGGTGTGTCAGTGATGTCATCATCAGCAGCGGTGATGCACAGGAAGTCGATGTGTTTTGGTCTGGTCGGGTGAAAGAGAGACCTGCAGCGAGACAGAGAGTCCTCCACCTCCTGCTGCCAGACCTCCTGCTGCTGCTGCAGGGCTTCATCTGCAGGAAACCATTACTGTTGTAATCATTCATTCTAAATCCTCTTTGTTTATTACGTTTGTTGTTTTTATTTACAGAAATAAACTCACAGTTTCTGCATGAGGAGGACAACTTGAGTCATTCATGACTGAGTGAACTCAGTAAGGTGGTGATTATGTTCAGACTGCTTCACATCCTGCAGGTCTCTGTGTGTGTGTGTGTGTGTGTGTGTGTGTGTGTGTGTGTGTGTGTGTGTGTGTGTGTGTGTGTGTGTGTGTAAATCAGACGGTCAGAACTCAGCAGGGAGCTGCTTCTCATGTTCACTTGACTGAACATCCACTGAAAAGCACAGTCACATTTTTTCTACACACACTTTTGTCTGACGACTTTCTGAGGGTGTTTTTTGTTCCTGGCTCCCTCTTTAATCCTGCAGAATATCTGAAGCACATAAAGAGAAATTTTTCACGGACAGGAAGTGAATCTCAACTGAAGCTAAAAGAGCAGTTGGTTAAGATAATTATCAGTGTGCATAGAAGAAGAAGAAGAAGAAAAGATCTTTTCTGTAGCGCCTCTCAAGATAAAAATCACGAGGCACTTCACAAAAACAAAAAATGTAAAAATATAAAAAAATGATTTAGAAAATGATTAAAAATATATTTAAAATGAGCCAAAAATAGACAATTGTAATTAAAAAATGTAAAGAAAGAGAGAGAGTGAATAGGAAAGAGGGAAATCAGTGGATCCTGAGGAAGGTGGAATAGGTGGGGAGAGCAGAATAAAGAGAAAGGGGTGAAGAAGGTCATACAAAAGCTTGAACAGGTGAGTCTTCAGCTGCTTTTAAAGGAGATCACTCAGTCCACTGATCTCAGTCTCAGGGGGAGAGAGGTCCAGAGTCTGGGGGGCCACAGCAGCAAATGATCTGTCACCTTTGACCTTTAGCCTGGTGCTGCACAACCTGTAGGCTTTGGTCACTGGACCTCAGGGACCTGCTGGGGGTGTAGGGACTAAGAAGATCACCAATGTAAGATGGTGCTTGTCCATGTAAGGCCCTATAGACCAGAACCAGGATCTTGAAATGAACCCTGAAGTTGACTGGCAGCCAATGAAGCTGGAGGAGAAGCGGGGTGATGTGGGTGTGTTTGGAGGACTTGGTAGGACATATGAATCATTATTGACTTATCGACTTTAACTGATGCACAAACTCTTTATTTTTACATTTATGGCACGATTCAACTGATCTACATTTAGGAAGTGTTTCAGAAAAGTTTAGTAAAGCTCCGTTTTGTTGGTGAGCTTTAAAAGGTCATGTTTCAGTGTGGTTAAC